CAGCAAATAAGTCATGAAAATAGATGCCTTTTGCCTTACCTGCGGACTTTTATCCGAATCCAATTCTACGGTGGTCAAAGCCGAGGTTCCTTTACCGCTGGTGGAACAGTCACGACCATGCCAAAAGAAATACGCAATCTGATCTCGTCCCTTTGTATCCCGTTTTGATTGACCGCCTTTCAGCGAACGGATGCCAGAAGCCTTGACCGAAAAACTCCATCTTATTACGTAACCTGTAATTACGAAGAAATAAAATAAACAATTAATAACGTGTGTAGTTTTGTAACATTAGCACCGGTTTATAGTCGTATGTCATCTTTTACAATAATGACTATACAAAGGATGCGTATTTATTGTTTTTTTCTGATAGCGAAAAAAAATTGGAGTTTGCCCTGCGCGGTCTTGAGTCGTAGTGCGACCTAGCTACGCTCACTCTATATTCTTATTCATTCAAAACCAAATTGCCCCAAATTGTGGCCGGTAAATAATTTAAAATATTACATAAATGAAATTTACATTTATACTTTTCTGAAGGCCGCATACAAATTCTTTTGACCACGGTTTGTAGATTGCTCCAGGCACTAGCAGGAAGCGCGAATACCTTGAATCCCAGCATATGATACTATTCATAGATATATTCTATACATAAACTCTCATGCAACTAAGAGCCACATTCCTCCAAATGCTATTCTCACAGAACACAATAAAACATGCCGATGAAATCTTTGACAAGACCACAATTCAAAAATTTTGTCAAACAAAAATTCTATGTTAAGGTTCTTTTTTCGCATGAGCTTTTCAAAAAAAAACACACTGACACTCTTTAGCACTAGCCTGAAGCGAATGTATATCTGCTTGTGTGAATATATGTACTTAGATAGCTTATAGTTGTGACACAAGTAATGGATGAAAGATGGGAAATACATATTTCTTACTCTCAGAGGAGTAAAAATGCCCCCATTCTCTTTCCTCGAGTTGCCTGGATTCTTTCTCTGAACTGTGATACACGGTTACGGAGTTTGTGGTGACTTTTACCCCTCGCCTTTCTAACTCATCATAGCTCCCACGACCCCGTCCAACATTGACGCCTTTAAAACAAGAAAAAAACACGTCTACAGGGAAATGCTGGAAGTATATGCCTTCAATATAACATCTTTACCGTCTAAAATTAGAGAGACTGGAGGAGGTTCTTCGGCCATTTGGTGACCATCACAGGGAATTAGCTCAACAGCTTCGTATTCAGATTGCTAAAAGAAATGTACAGTTTATTCGATCCAGATATTCTTACGCATGTTTCAGAATGAGAAAAAATCTTGAGCCCGGTTAGCCTGTTGCAATTTGGTACACCAGGGAACAATACAAAAAAAATATGGTTTTAATTGGCTATTTGCATTGTGTATGTATTGAAATATATCGCTGTTGATTTCAAAGACATAGTTACACTTAATGTTACATTGAATTTGATGATTTTCTACAAGACATGTATTAAATGGTCAACCTGCCATAAGGGGGCGCATGAGAAATCCGGGATGACCGCTTAATTAAAAGGTTTCCCTTTACCTCAATCTGTGCCATCCTCTTCGCATATCCCTTGCTCAAATTTGTATTTAGCAAATCTTTCTCTTTGTCCAATTTCACTTTCATAACGACATCAGGCCAATCGTGAAACTTTTGCTCGAACAATATCGTTTCGGCACGCTCCGTCATTCTGCCAAACAGTGCCCAAGAAGGCCTCTTCAGATATCGAGGCTTGTTGTCATCTTTTATCATGTTTGGAGTAATTGGATTAAGTGAGTTCTGCACCTCGAAAGTTGATTTGTAAATATCTAATGCTAATTCTACAGCCTGAGATCTACTTGTCTTCTCGCACGTACGACCCAACCAAGCGTACACTTCAGTTCCAAAGTCAAAAACAAATGCCTAAAAACAAATAGCACAATTTTTTTCTGAGAATTGGCGATTTTATGAATTATAAAGATACGCAATGATAAATCGTATTGTTACCATGCCATACCTAATACGAAAACAAAAATACTCTGGTAACACTGGAGGAGAAAATACCTGATTTGAATCGAGCATGGCGATTTTCGGTGATCTACCGGAGAGTTCTGAAATCTTCTTCAAAGTAGCCGGTTCAGTTGTGGTATCAACAGCATACACGACGTTACATGCAACAACCGCCTTCTCATACTCGTTATCTTTGGGGATTTCTTTACTACCTGAATGAGGTTTAACATTCATAAAGTAGAGAAAGTAGGGATAATAAGATTCTGAAATACGAGTAAAATGTAATTTAGTCCGGTATATTAAAAGGGTCAGCACTGCTTTTCCCATATTTTTCCCAGTTCAAAGACATTTCAAGCTCAAAATTGTCGATTTTCAAGAACTACAATTTAAATTTATTAGACGATATTTCTGCAGTAGTATTTAGCTTGCGCTGTACGGGGTGTCGGATAATTATTATAAGAGAGAACAAAAGACGCATGCAGGAATTCCATGCACGCATGCATGGAAAATACAACACAGAGTGAAAATTCGAGTACTTTTCAAGGAGCCTTAGGCATGTTTCCTATTTCTAAGGGGTTTACAAGTCCACTTAACAGCAAGATTTCGAGTCAATGGTCTTTTAAGGAGTTCAAGGAGCATCACGAGCCCTGTCAGTGTACGCTGTGAGTTATCTGAAGCCGAGACTTGAATCTTTAAACACTTCAACCTATAGCATATGTCAAAAGTAGCATACCAATGCTGAACACGAATTTTCATAAACTATAGTACAGGACGTAGGAAAGACCGATAATTTAAAGGGCAAATATTCCTATATACATGATATGTGTGAAATTTCTTTAAAGTCCTTTGTTTGCATGGCGGATCTAGGTGAATCAGAATATGAGCTCCCCAAAAAAAACATCGATATTCTTAGGTCTATCATATAGTAAAATGCCTTCTTTGTTTGCGATACCTTTAACAGTTTTCCTCCCACCGAGCGTATTCCAGAATGACCTCGTGAGTCCAGTGTCAATGTTGACCGAGCCGTCTTTGATCGTGGTCACAACGGTGGCGTTACAGTTCAATAGCTTGTACTGAAGAATTCTGTTGGAAATTTCTGAGGCCTGTTTGAAAAAAATTGAATCAATCTCGTGGCTGCATGGATCCATCAAAGATACTGTCTACTTGACAGTCCACATCATCAAAAGCAAAACATGCCAAATATTAAAACAATTACCTTTGACTTTTTCATCACATTAGAGTCTTTGCCATTCCAAACATGAATAGACTTCGGTGTAACGAGCACAAATGAATCCGCAGAATTCAATGACGAAACGCTTGGCTCAACTAGACGCGTCTGCATGTTACGGTGACCTAAGACAAGACACGAAAAACGCCAAATTTTGGCACAATTCTAAGCAGATATAAACAATAAAAAAGAAAGATAGTTGATCTATTTGTAACAATCCTTCTCATTTTTTCTAGCCTACATCAAAAGCAGATGAAAAATCACGTTTAGACAAATGGGTACAAATTAAAAACGCGAAACACAGCCAATCAGAGAGTTTTCTCCCAAAATGCGCGACGAATACCTATACCTTTAATTTGTAACAGCATCACAGGAGCGGTACCATCATATTCACTCTTCTCTTTGCTCACCCCAGTCTTCGACTTGCTCGTCTTTTTAAGAGTTATCTTTGATGCGTCTTCTGTGGCAGCTAGGCCAGCGAGAGTATCGTCTGCATAATTGTTGATATGTTTCGACTCTGAGAACACATAAATAAAATTGAATGAAAATACTAGTCGTATATATATTTCCCACTAGTTTTCGCTAAATCAATTCCGCTTTCAAATTAATGCAGACAACTCGTATAAACGTGAGAATTGTCGTTTCCTTAATGAATAAATTGAACGAAAAAATTTGAAACCACAAAACTAAATGGAAACCGGCTTTTGCTTTATTTGTTTAGTCAAAATTATAATGCTTACGTTTGTCTCCAGGCTCTATAGCTCGTCCAAGTCTTCCAATGGCAGTTGGCTTTAACTCCTCTTCTTCACTTTCCTCCTCTACGTCATGAAAATTCTAAGAACAATAATGAACAAAGTTCAGTTGGCTATTTTCACGCTTACTTGAATTTCAGAGCTTACCTCCGTTCCGGTAATCACGTCGTCTCGTTGCTGAAGTTTTTTGACAGGATTCGATTTTGCTGCACGCCTGTTCGCAGGTCGAACTTGACGTCGGAATTTCGAAAACCCACCAAGTCTAGACGATCATTCAACACATACATGATGGCTTCTTATTTATTCGTGGGTATAGTAATTGACGGTGTAAAAAAACTTACTGCTTTATGTTTTCAGGGTTAACGACATCATCAAAAGATAACTCAGACGATGGTCTAGAGAAGGAAAAAAGTTGGATTAAATTGTCGTTGGTTAAATAAGGAACACAAAAGGTAATTTAATGCATTTAGTTTGGATAAATTAAACGTCACCGGTCAGCTATGACAAGAGATAAGGCACTTTTCATTCTATCATGGGCGTAATCACCTTTCTATCACCTTTCAAATCACAGACCTAAACTTATTTTAATTTAATAAAATTCATGTAGTTCAACTGTAATTTATTCCAATTATACTTGATAGTAAAAATTTGATTTGCTATTTACGAGGTGTTATTCTTTGACAAACAGTCGTTTGAAGACTTTAATTGTAATTGATGTCTTTAATTGTAATTACTTTAATTGTAAATGATAGAAGACTTTAATTGTAATTGATGTCAATATTGAACGGTGAAAACAGCTAACAAAAGTCTTAAAAATCTTACTTTCCATCACTTTTGTTTTTGTCGTCTTTCCGCGCGTTTTTCCTGTTTTTGAACTCGACATCAGCGGAAACTTGCTTTGTTCTTAAATCATCTACGTCATCAAGTGCGTCAGTGGCAACTTTGTCTAGAGCTTGCATTCCACCAGTCAAATACTTCTTCGTATCCGATTTTACATCTTTTATCTCTTCAAGTTTTCGTTGCTGGCAGTTGGAACTCAATAGTTCCTTGATAAACTCGGACACATTCAGTTTGCAGTTCCTCTTTTTCCAACCTGTAGTCAAAAATGAAGATTACGTGTATTTAGAGGGCTTTTATATCAAAACCCAATGTCGACCATTTAAGATAGTACTATATGTTTTAATTGATATAAGCCAAACCATAAAAAAGTAGCTAAGTAGAGAAATACGACAAAATGCCGTAATTTAAAAACTATGCTCGAAAAAGTGCTCACTCCTTTCCGACTGAGCGATGAAAGCACACGTCTTACCTTGTCTAACATTAATCAAAAACACAGGCGGTGGTCTCTCAGCATCTTTAGATGAACTTTCGCTATCCTTTTGCGCTTCCTCATTACTAGGATCATTCCAGAAAGACAGAGCACCCTTTATGTCAACACTTATCGCTTCTTCCTCAGCAGGCATATATTGATCGTTAATACTATCGACGGGTGCATTAGACCCGCTTTCCTCAAACGTGCCCGCTTCTTTTCCGTGGCGTTCTTGGGCTCATCCTGAACCTTGGGTTTTGAAGGCGCAGAAAAGGTGATTGTCCTCGGCGCGGCTTTGTCTCGTTCTTTACAAGCGGCTATTTTATCTTTGATATTACCAGCTTTCTTAATGTTGTTCGGACTTTCTCGCTTGTTTTTCGGTTTACTCTTTCCACCTTCCATTAAATTCGCACGAATATTATCGAGTTTCGATTTTGCCGTTTTTTCTTTGGTAGGCGACAATCGACCCTTCCCAGAAGACGACTCGTGTTTTTCGGGAGAGATTCGTCCAGAAAGTCCTTTAGTTGGAGACACTCCTCCGACATCACTTCTTATCTTCTTCTTGTTTTTTACAGGTGATACGTGACCACCACTGCCGCCATTTGCCTCATTCTTATCATCCGTGATGGAAGCGGTTCCACCTTTTAATGACTTGGTAGGTGATGTTGTCTTACTATGAGCTCGTTTATCGAGCGATATTCTTCCAGAATCCCTCTTCGTTGGCGGCGTTATTTCATTTTTCAATTTACCGTCATTCTTGTTCCATATACGTGCTTTAGAAGAATCCTCTTTTCTCGAATTCTCACAATCGTAGTTGGTTTCAGCATTGTTGGTTGCGATAGTATCTTTTTTTGATTGTGATGCACTATCTTCAACCCAAACAGTCTCAACTTTATTGCCAGAATCTTTCACGTGTTGATACGTCCTTTTATAGCCATAATCTTGTGTAGAAGAGGTTTTTTCACTCGCATCTTCTTTCTAGACAGAAATATCATCGTTATCTTTGAGTTTTACAATATTACTCGATGGCTTTCGATAATTAAAGATAAACTGCACTGCAATCAACCAATGACAAAGATTATTGAATAAGAAATAAAACACAACATACCTCTTCATAGGTCAAATCGATCTTAGTTGATTCTTCGCCTTTAATCAGATTTTTTGAGCTCGTTTCAACTTGCTCATTCTCCGCAGTGGTGTGAATGTTGGCATCTAAGGATTTTGCCTGTTCTTTCAACTCTTCGTCAGTTGTGTTTATTTTTTTCTTGCTATCCGACGCAACCTTCTTTATCGCTGCATGGGCACTTTGCCTGTCTCTCTCCTCGCACTGTTCAAAAAGATACTATTATAGAAATGACCTAATTCGGCAAAGCCAAAATACTTTGCAAATACTATAGCTGTTTTCTTGGCATTCACATTTTCAAAATTCACAGCTAATTACTAAAATCATATAGCTTGCGAGACTCGAGCGAAAGCCTTGCATCCTGACTGAGTACTGGGAAGGGATGCCCTGAGTGAGTACTAACGGTAAAATAATTCCGACTGTCGCGAAATTTCACGCAACGCAAATCAAAAAGGTAGCAAAATTAAAAGTTGACAAAAATAGTGCGCGTGTTAACAAATTGCCCGGTGGGTTTCTGCCTGTAAAATTACTCTCGCTAGAAATAAAATGATGACGTTTCTTGGTTATTGTGCATGTGTAGCGTTCAAACTTGAGAGAAAGGGATTGTCAAAGTGGGAGATCTCGGACCCTAAAATGCGAAATTATACCTCTTGTATGATCTTATTCTTGACATCACTCAAGCCAGACAACTCAACTAGTTCACTTTCTTCATCAAGAGACTTCCCTCTTTCTTTGGCAGTCTTCCACGACTCGTTCCGCTTCTCGTCACGCTCGGCACACGATGATATTATATCCTTCAGTCGACTACTCTCGGAAATTTCTTTTAACTCTTCGGAGATTTCCGTTTCGTTATCGGGGTCCAAGGGCTTGGAACATTTCTTCACCTCTTTCGTCCACGCACTGGCGCTCTCTTTATCCTTTTCTTCGCATTCTTTGATGCGATCTCGAAGCAAGCTTGCTTTGGAGACTTCCTTCAGTTCATTCTCAGTTTCTTCATCCAGCGACTTGTGTTTCCTGGCGCCTTTTTTCACCTGAACGAAAACATAAGACAGTAGGAATAAGCACAAAGACTAGCCCACAAAAACTCCGCAAAGAAAGTGTTTTCAGCTCAGGAAGTCTAACAAATTTTATATCCGTAATTTTTGTCAATCATTTATTTTGTAGTGTGTCTGAATTTCACTGCCCTGATAACGGAAATGCTTCGTTTTCATTTCCATTAACTTTCGCATTAGCATTAATGGTAAAGCCTAATATCACTTTAATGAACAACATACACAAACGACGCTACGTTTGCTTGTAAACAACATCAAGCATACCTTAATAACTTTTTCGTGGCACATATCAGTAAGATGTTTTAGTGTACGAATGGAAGAAGCAGAATTTAGATACGTCAAGCACTTGTGACAAAAATGTACGAAGCTCAAAATGCAAATGAAGATCATGCTTTAAGGATTGTTATCTGATAAATTTTAACTAAAGTGCCACAAAAACTCTACGTTTTTCATTAAAGATAGTTGAGCTATTTGTTATCGTCATCACTTCTATAATGCAATTCATTTCATCACCTTTTTCGCCCAAGCACTAGCGCTCTCGATGTCCTTTTCTTCGCATTCTTTGATGCGATTTCGAAGCAAGCTTGCTTTGGAGACTTCCTTCAATTCATTCTCAGTTTCTTCATCCAGCGACTTGTGTTTCCTCGAATCTTTTTTCACCTGAATGAAATCGCAAGAGAAAGGCGGAATAGATGAGGAGATGGATTAAAAGAATAACACAAAAAATAAACGGAAAAACTACTTTCATGTATGGAGGTATAGCAAAAATTATTTGTCCGACGTTTTTGTGAGTTATTTACTAAGTTATGTTCCCAAATCTTAGTGACCTAATCACGGGTATTCATGCTTAATGCATTAACATCAGCATTAACTCTAAGATCGTGTATTATTTTAAGGAATGTAAAACAAAAAATTTCATACCACTCGTTTCCAGGCTTCAGCGCTTTCTTTGTCCTTCTCCTCGCATGATTGCACAATGTTTCGCAGGTCTCGTCTACGCGACAGCTCACGTAGTTCCTTCTCTGTTTCTTCATCGAACGATTTGTGTTTTCGCCCCGTTTTAATTTGCTTTTTCCATTGTTCGGCAGACTCAACATCACGCGCTTCGCAGTTCTTCATCTTGTTCCTAATCTTCCCCACTTTACCTAGAGCAGTCAATTCCGCGGTTCTGTTTATATCGAAAGCGCCTCGCGTTTTTCGAACATTTTTCTTCCAGGATTCATCACCATCAACTTCTTTGCCGTCTCGAACATTTCTCCTCCGGTTATCAGAAGTGTTTTCTAACCCTTTATCGGTTTTTGTTGATTCGTTATCAGGTCTCGGCACTTGCCCATCGATGCGATCTTTCATTTCTACGGTATCAGTGGTGGCCACTTCCTTACAAAACCTTTCTTCATCTTCATTTAACTTTGACTTCTCTTTTCTCACGTTTGCCTCATCATTAAATACACCAGCTTTATTTTCGTTTTTGTTCACATCATTGTGATCCTTAGAGTCGGAATCATTTGTTTCACAAACATTACCTGACGTACTCGTCACGACTTTGGCTGTTTCCGCATTCACAACATTACTTGCATCAGCTGAAGTCTCATCGACTACTTTATTATGATGAAGACTTTCATCACTATTATCTATTTCCACTTCTTGACTCATTTCTTGTTTCAAATCATTTCCTTTCGTGTTTCCACTTGCAATAAAAGAAGTTTCGATCGTTTCCACTTCAGATGCAGTTGCAGTATCATTGATCTCAGTTACACCAATGACACCATGAAGATCATCATCTACAACACTTATATCTTCACTAACAGTTTTCTTAACCTGAATTTCAGATGCCCTTTGAAGAGCAATGTCTTGCACCGATTCCTCACTTCCATCATCCAAAGGTGCAACTTTCTCAGATGAATGCAGATCATAGTTACGAATTGCCTTACTTTCCACAATACCATTGGCACCCTCATCTGACACTTCCATCTTTCTGTCCCGAATACCGTACACTTGGCTTGTCTTCGATAACGCAGTACCATCTACATGATCATTAGATAGCACCATTCCATTTTCTTCCAAATTTCCATTGCATTCACTAGCTTTATTAGAGTGATCATCACTTTCGACTTCGTTCACAAGTAATGATTCGAGTTCCTTTGGTTGTCTGACAACTTCAACACTCTCCTCCTCTTTGAATTTGTTTTCAGATTGCTCTTGCACTTTAAGAGAAGCGACATCACTCTCATCAAATTCCCGATTCCTCCTTCTTCTTTTTCTTCCCTCGGCTGCTGAAATTTGATCTGAATCTTCGAGTTGAGCAAATTTCGTTGCGTTACTTTCGTTATCCTCCAATAAGAAATCTTGTCTAACACTTTCAGACTCCACAAAATTCTCTTCATGATCTCGTGTTACATTTTTTCGTCTCTTTCCTTCTGATGCTGCAGATTTATCAATTTGTTCTAGATCAATGCTATCCTTCGTACTATCTTCGTATTTGTTGGTCTTAGCAGACTCATGGCGTTTTCCAAAACACCGACGCCAAAATTTTGATTATCACTATGTTCCTTATTTCTTCGTCTTCTTGCTTCTCGTCTTAAGCGGGCGCTGTCCAACATGTTACCAGTTTCGGGGCTACTTTCCTGGTTGAAGGAGCGTGTAGCTCTTTCAGTTCGTAGAGGGCTCCTATCCGTTGCAGTGTGCCTGGTGCGAGTAGTTCTATCTGATCGAAACTGGTTTTTCTCAGCCGTTGTAGTGCTGTCTTCATCCCTACGCCTTCTTGTAACAGACCTCATGGTGGCATCATCGGCAGTGCTCGTCAAGTGTCGGGTGGAAGTATTAGATGATATTGCGTTATCTCTAAGACGGCTAGCTCTAGTGGGTCGCGGAGAAGACCCATCCGTTTGCTCGTCTCGACGACTGTTGGTGTGACCTTAAAGTGTTTGTGAAATGAAATTTCATGGTTTCATAATTTCTTATAATTGCATAGAGTAAACCTTGAAGTGTCCAGTAAAAATTTTAACGGACACAGTAGGAAACAAATTTAAAAAATGACAATGTCCGCTAAAATTATCATTAATTTTGAGCGTATCCCAAGGGCTTGTGTCGTCAGTGGTTGTGTATATGTGTATTCAGTGTAGAAATTTGTACTATTTAAATGTAGTTTGACACGGCAGCAAAAGCGCTTTAGCGTGCCAAATCCAACGGTATTTGTAATACTTCTTGCCAGATTTTATCAGCTATATATGAAATGGTATTAATCGCACCTAAAGTTCATCTAGGTTAAAAATAATTGAGCAATCAAAGAGAATCTTGTGAGAGTCCTTAATAAAACTCTAAACTTTTGGTCCTTTTTTCCCCTTTCAAAGCTTTTTTTCTAGAGTCTTTCTAGAAATATCTTTATCAACATCTCTATAACTAGACCTAATGTTATTGTATTTATGGCAATAAAATCGGCATAAGACTTACTCAAACAACACAAGTCCTGCGTTATTACTAATTTACTGTATAGTTTGTTTATTCTAATACTTGACTTTCCACGATACAGAAAAAACAGAAGGCAACAAACGAAGCAACTTTACAAGACGAACAATTGTAGCTGAGCTGGATTCTCTTTGAATGCCCTTTTGTTGTATATGACACATTAATGTCCTGGTGTTTGACTTTGAGTTTGTCTAGTTTTGGACTGTTTGCTCTTAGGAAATGACTCGATTAGGTTGCTCTGTTGTATTGAATAGATGGTTAGTCATTTTGAACAAATATTTTGTCTGAAATTGCTGTCAAACCACCACTTGGTTTTACACAAGATTTTCTTTTAAATCCATCGCATATATGAAATAAACTGTTTCTTTTTGGCGCGGCATTTTTTGCTTCGCATCTATTATTTGTTTTGATAAATAAAAATTTGTTTCTTGTATAATATACATCAAAAATTATTGTAATTTAAAAAAGATTAAACAATTAAATAGGGTGGAATTAAGTTCAATGTTTTCACCATGTTTTCTTTCTGTAAAGAAAGTTCACCCTATAAGTAGGCTGAAATTAAGCTCTCAAATAACATCAGTCTGTATGAGCTCGTAAACGAGTGTCGTGTTTTTCCGTTGTGCTCAAAGCAATTTACTGTACGCCAATAACATCAAGCTGACGCATATCGGATAAAACATTTCTGTGCAGTGTGCACGAATTGAAATTACAGATCTTAGAAACATTTGGCATCAAGCCATAAAGCATGAAACCGGTTCTCCAATTTCCGTGAGACGGAAAACGAAATGGAACTGATCGTGATTGGAAAATGAAATAATTTCAGAACGAAAAAACAGAATAGTTCACTATGCTTTAGAGACAAGAATCTATACTCACGCGTTCTCTCAGAACTCGCAGAGTGCGTTGCCGTATGATCCTCACGAGCTCTTCTCGATCTTACAGTTGACGTGGATAGTGTCGTTAAAGTTTTGGTTTCGTCTCTGCAACGTGAACTTCCAGTAGTGTCATCATCTAATATTTTTCGAATACGCTCCCGTCTCTGTCGTCTATTTTCCTCTCTTTCTAAACGCAACCTTTCCACATCCATAACTCCAGCTACAAAAAAAGAAAAAAGATCGATGAACTATTATCAAGTGGTTGTCAAAAGAGAATTTGGTTTCAATTGGCTATGTTTCTTTCAAATGCAATATCGTCGATTTTTATTTGGGAAAATATTGCATTTTTGAAGAAGCCGAGGTGCGTTGTGGAAAGAGCTTGCATGATTTCTGCATACTCCGTACGAAGAATTCGGATTTTTGTAATTAATAGATAATTACATCTTTCATGAAAGCCGAGTTGAGAGAAAGGTTCATCTCATGTACGACATCAATCGTTACGTATTAGAAGAATTGCAGTTGCGAATGAATGATGAAAGCGTGCATACAAGTATATTCTTGGATCGAATTTCCAATACTTTGCGCTGACATAATTCGAGTTCATCACAATTCACAAATTACTCATGTCCATTTTAAAAACTATTATAGGGCATGGCATTCTAATATGTCGTTTTAGTCGAACTTATTTGACAATATTCAGGTGGCATTTTTAACTTTAAAAGCATGGAATACACTAAACTGGCCAGCAGACGACACCTTTTCTTCCGCAGAAAGAACTTTAATTGACGAACGTTTATCGCATTAATTAACCACACGTCAAAATCTAACATTCTTCAAAGTGTTTAGCAAGACGTCTTCTTATTCAAAGGGACCTACAGACTGCCAAAAAATTTCGACCATTTCTACCACTCTTTGCAACCACAGTGAAAGCACACTGGCTTTCATTGAAAGGCGGAATGTGAAATCGAGGAAGTGAATGATTCGGAAATGAGTGAGTTCGCTAACATTAAAGGCTTTGAAACACGTTTTTTTTTAACTGTATATACAATTAAATACATGAAATAGTTTAAGTGCCATGCAAATGAGTCCCGTACATTTAGCATCACTTTATAAAGACGAGAGAGAGCATTTGATAAAAGACTCTTTTTTTCTATACGATGATTGTCAAGCTCAAGCACAACTTGTTTATACATAAATTACTTCGCGGAAAAGGTTACCAACACAAGATTACTGTTTTGAAGACAAAATTTTCATTGTGTTTTTAGAATTCCGCACTTCCACATTCCGCGTTTCAACATTTTTGAATGTTCCATTTCGTCGCAAAAAAAACCCTTATTTTCACGTTCTGGAGAATTCCTCAGTCTTACCTCGTTTGTCAGCTCGTTTGTCAGGTAGCGTTTACATAAAAGATGGAAACCCACAGTTTTTCGGTTCTCGAACAAGAACACGCACATAATTACGACTGCACTCAAAGGAGATGTATTTATATTGTACGTAACATTAAGGCAAAATATGGATAGGTTGCTACCTGCAACATCATAAGGAGAGCAGTTTTTTCCTCTGTAATATTTTAAAAAAGAAAGGTAAACAACATATTGCCGTCATCAGCTCATGCTAATGGTGTCCGAAATCGTTTGCATTGTTACTGATACAAAGCACATCAAAAATGCAAACAAATTGCATTGAGCAATAAGCGTTTCCCCTTCGCCACATTAGTTATTGTTAAAGTAAACGAATTATCAAAGCAACAAAATAGCGAACATTTTTATTGTATGAAAAATTTTTATGAGTACAAAACGCAACATGTAAACTGACACGAAAGCCGCGAATGATAATACAAGACAGTCGTATTTCAGCGACTACATTCAAAATGTCGATATACGCACTTCATAGGGCCGTTACACTATCTTAAAGTTGTACTGGCCCGTAAGATATCCACGAGAACACGATTTATAATCCATGATCTCGCCACAGATAACTTAATATCTATCTTGTCAAATTATCCAAAATCTGTTTGGTAAACAAAGGAATTTAGGCGAAATGGGTAATTAAACAATACGCCTTTGCAAAAGAAAGGCAGTGAGATGAGACGTCCCAGCGAAATTCAAATTATTCAACTTTTATTCACAATAAGCGACTAAGAATACACCATTTTGGTGACAATAACAGTCGGAAGTGACACAATCCAAGAGAAAACATCCGCGCAAGACTCCATTGGACTTAAACAATTTTGTAGAAATTATCAGATCTCGCTCTAAAATCGATTATCAATGAGCTAACAAAACTAGAAAAATGCGCTAACATTTTGACCAACAAAAGAACAGATTTCTTGTGGGATTATTTACATCCGACGGAGCTCTAATGAGGCTCGGATGTCGCATAATTAATTCTAACATTTGGAGAAAATTTGAATTGCAGCAGATTCCCTAAACAAATTTGATACAAATGCAGAAAATTATTCAACTTAGTCGACGAGAGATAGTATCTTGAGATGCATAACAATCAACAAATTCCGTCAAAACATATAGAAATAAGTGAATCATATATTTACAAAATAATTGCAATATTACCGGGCTAGGAAACAACACCGTGTTGTTTTTTTATATGCCAAGAAGCGAATATTACACAACAAACTGCTCTACAACACTCGCAGTAAGAGAAACTTCACTTACCGATAGACGAGGTAAAATTTAATATATTCCCGAGCTATGACGCTTGGCTTTGATAATATATCAGTACACTTCGCTTGCTATTCTTACATGACTTTGAGCAACATAATAAAAATGTGGCTAGGATACCAACTTACAGATATTTTTAGGAATGAGGTCAAATTTCAGCGAGATGAAAAAGTTAGATCACGGTTAAAACGGTAAAAAACCACCCAATTAAACGAAACGCTTACGACGTTGTTAGAAGTAAAACACAAATCTTCGCCACTCGCGTTTTCTTTCGCAATAGCTTAGCCACGCGAGAAACACGAGAAGAAAATATCACGCGTGTGCTGGCTCAACCACTGAAACATTTACATAATAGAGATATAATTAAAATACAAAATAGACAACCCCGATACGGTGGCCGGTACGAGTCACCAGAAAAATAATTTAAAAAACATAACAAATAATAAGAAAACATCACTCAAAATCATACTACACATTTCAAAATACTCACTAAACATCTCAAAATACTCACTACACATTTCAAAATACTCGCTACACATTTCAAAATACTCACTACACATTCGTCCCAGTCTTACCCTGGTCTGGCCTGCCAACGGTCCTAATTAGTTTCCATATACGAAATTGACGTGATGTCAGAAAGCTAATATAAATATACGCTTCCGATATTACTAATAGTTCAGTACGCCTAAGGATATTTTGATGCTATTGTGGCGATATGTTGTCTATGTGGAATTCGGCACATAGACAAACATATCGTCACAATAGCATCAAAATATGCGATACGCGTACATGAACTATGAGTAATATTTCTTCCAGGGATTTCTTGGTCTTGGTTAAACACAACATGAGTGGCAAATCTACAGATTGCATGTAAGTGTATTTGTATTGGTGATATTCGACAGTCATTAGTATTGAAGTTCTAAATTTATTGCTTTTACTCGAAATCACCAAACTTTTCATTTTCTTTGGCGTTTCTTGCGCAACAAATTATAGCGCTATGTGCAAATTTCTTCTTTGGTTTCCTTGTTAGTTTTGTAACGCATCACACAAGTACGTACGCGACCTAGCGAATGCAAATTCATATACTCAAATTTTTGCTATTAAAGTACGGGCGTGTGTCGAAAGCCACTGCAAATACATTTGCACGCGATATGTAGATCGTCTACCAATGTTGTTGCCCGACCAAGTCCAGCAAAACCCTGGAAGAATTTCTAATTAGAGTTCAGCCAATATTTTCATGCTATTATCCCAATGTCTTAATTTGTCTGTCTTGTGAAATGCGGAATTATATATTTAATATGCAGGGCGGATCTAGGGTATGTCAAATCAGTCACGCGACTGATGTTTATAGTTCAAAAATTATTTATCAAATTTAATGATTACAATTTTTTTTATCATAAAATTTTCGTTCTGTAATCGTTTGGATTTCATCATCAAAATTCTGTTTTATGTATGAAAACTTATACAAATACCACCTTAGTAAACAGATCAGTAGATAAAAACATATCTAGAATTATATTTACTGGCTGACTGATAAGCGGGGTGGCTCGACTGGTTCGACCGATAACGGAGTTCAAGAACGCTTATTCAAGCAATTCCATTGGTCAATAGCCAGATCAGTGGACGATCTGGAATAATCTCGACATTCCTGCAAATATATTTCAATGGACAAAAAGTCTGTAGCCATAAGGCGCCATACTATTATTTACTTTATCATAAACAAATGTTTGGGGCTTTTCAGTTTATGATCATTGGTCATTCAATCATTGGACAGTTATACTACACATTGTTTAAGATTTGAGAAAACTAACATTGATTACATGAGAAGCTGTTTACTATAACCTTTGATTTTGAGTCTTTTCTGATCCATGAAGCTTTTTATTTTGACAATTTGACTGGAATGGTATTAAACTGAGTATTTCACATACATGAAATGTTGTCCCATGTCACATATTGTCCCCTTTTCTAACTGAACACCTCATGTAGAGATGTCATGGTGTGTTCATCTACGGCTCATACCAGATTGTTTGCCATAAATTCCAAAGGGCTATTGATGTATGAAAGCATTTTCTATAAAGTAAAAATGTCTTCCTATGTATGCAGATAAACCTTGAAATTTGGCAAAACAGCAAAGTATTTTTTTATGATCACTATGTAATTTTTCTGATGATCATTATAATTTCTAAACTAACTTATTTCAGGTTTACATTTAAACGAGCTTTGATCATATGAAAAGATATTTATCATATCCAGTAAGCATGACACATGAACCAATTTTAACATTCATGTAATTATATGATTAAAGACATGATGGTTACATTCTGTTTGTATAGGCAAATACAATGCTACTAGTGATTGCATATATCACACCTTGCATATACTTACAGAAGATAATAGTGTAGTGAAATGCCTAATAAACATTAATGACATTAAGCTGTCCTTAATTGCATATTTTCACTCTGCTAATTTTTGCTTAATCTTTGACAGAAAAAAATTTTGAGTTTTTTTTCTAAAAAGGTGAATTTGCTGGCACTGTATGTGGAGATGGGTAAAGGGTTACAATAAACTTACATGGTTTGAAGTCTGAGCTTTTCTGCATCTATGAACTGTCCCTTGTAGTACCAAATTTCTAACTTAGCTTATTACATAGAGGTTTGAATGGGGGTCTCTAGGGGGGTCTATGCCTGACAACTTGGTAGAAATTTTTAAAGACAATATCTTAGTTGGAATAGCATTATTGTAAAATAAATTTATGTTCCTAGACATGCTAATGAGACATATATTTGGCATGATAATGAGCCTAAATATTTGGCAAAACATTTAAGTATTGTTCACTTCATTTTTTTTTGAAAAAAACGTAAGCAAAATGTGTTGTTTTTACGTAAAAACGATGCCCACAAAATACATTTTGTATTGCTCTAAAACGCTGAAAATGGCATTTCCAAGGCTCAGAAATTCAAAATTTCCCAGGGGAGAATGCCTCCGACCACCCCAGGTGCGGAGCGCCTCCCGTGTTCCATGACTGATGTTTAAAAATCCTAGATCCCCCCCTGTTAAAATGCTTACTTTATGATGTCACGTCAATTTCGTATATGGAAACTAATTAGGACCGTTGGCAGGCCAGACCAGGGTAAGACTGGGACGAATGTGTAGTGAGTATTTTGAAATGTGTAGTGAGTATTTTAAAATGTGTAGTGAGTATTTTGAAATGTGTAGTGAGTATTTTGAAATGTGTAGTATGATATTGAGTGATGTTTTCTTAGTCTTTGTTATGTTTTTTAGATTATTTTTCTGGTGACCCGTACCGGCCACCTTACCCCGAAACCCCCGAACATTGAAATCGTGTATATTTTCGAAACATTTCATTCCCGATGATGATTTAAGAATAGTGGGAACGTTGAGAAAACAAATATGGTTTCAGTAGTTGGATCTACCTTTGTTCATTGTCAATCAATGAGCATTCTTCATTTTTCGTAGACGTTTCGCGATGGGCGACATCAGTTTTTTCTAGTTAGATAGGGTGGCATTCTGACACCAAGAAGTTTAATCCATGACGATTTTCTTTATAATATTTTTTGAAAGACTAAGGACGATTTAAGGCATGATACAGTCAAACATGAAGTCTGTCATCAAAGAAAAAATAAACGAGTAAGAATTCGTCACTGTACGAAAATGTCATGTCGTCAAATGTTTAGAGTCGTGCCTTGGAATCTGGTTTCAATAATTATTATGCAAAATGCGTAGAAACATCGAGTGTTAGCTTTGTCAGTAACAACTTTCGTATTTCCTTTTTCAAAATCAAATTCTTTTAAAAATCTCTTTCTTGCGAGACAAGTTGCTAATTGAGTTTTACTCGACAAAACCGGTAATTTAAATTTTTGGGATGAGTGAGCTGAGCCCCAGATATATAAGCCGACGCGTAAGACACTGGTTAAGATTCAACAAGTTGCTGGACTCACACTCACTCAGAAACTTGGTCATCCTCGATGATTCGTGATTTATTCAATTGTTCTAATATTAAGGTTTTAGGGTGTCCTGTTATGTAACCCAACTTGTGAACATTGAAACAAGAGATTCGAGAATTCTTCATTGTCTTATGCAAACTGGCTAAAATTGTTTGATCCAATCCAATCATGCATGGAAAATTGGATCTTTTGGCCATTTTTTAATACTATCTACTCCAAACGCAAAGCTGAAAGGCAAGCGACTGGAATGATCAAAACTCGTAGTGTTAAAGATACTGCATATATTCATGTATTGATACGTAATAATTGGTAATATCAGCTAACTTCAATAAAAATTAATGAAGTTGAGCTTGCATGTATGAATATAGCTATATCAGAATACTTTGTAGATTGATTCATGTCAGGCAGTGAAGGTTGGATGATGGAATTGATGTTGTTGGAACACTTAAAGAAAGAAAACGTTATGTTGTTTTTTCTGCAGTTATGATAATTCGATAGCTGACCGTTATTTTTTATCTATTGATTAAACAAAATAACATTGTAACCGTGAGCTTAAGTCATTTTGATAGTAAGAACCAAACGTTTCATTGAAAAGATCACTGCTACTGAGGACGATTCTATAAGCAATGGTGCAAAGTCTTTTGTTTGAAAAATGAAATTTAATTCTTTACACTTAGACAAATAAAGTTTCGTATGGTTTTGTGTCGTCCAACGAACGATTTTATGATCTAGAAGTTTTAAAATGCCATTCAGTCAAAGTGCTACTGTCTCACTAGCCTTAGTATCGTCACCATACTTCCACCTGTCTTTCCAATCAACGAAAAAATCATTCACCATTACTAGACCGAGATTGGACCAAGAACTGTACCTTGGGGGTGGTACTCCACAATTAATAGTCTTAGTGATTGGCGATAAGACACACATCCATTCAATATGACACTTGAGAAACAAATTTGTGAATGACACAACAAGTCATCAATACCCACTGCCTGTGAATTCAGCAAGGTAGTCTTAACAGCTTGCGTCTGTTACAACTTACAACGATCACTCAACTATGTGAATTTTCTATGAACACAAAACGCCTGTCAGGCGTTACTCGTAATAGGCGAGATACTCGAGAACAGTGTTTGGCTGCATACGGCAACGCAATCTGAAATGTGGCAATATATATGTCAATCCTGTTTCAGTTTACCTGCCTTCAGCACCGACCCAAAAAAGATTTTGATTGGTTCAAGAATCTCATGCAAGTCACGTGTGATTTGTGCAATCTCGCAAGGTGACAAGAAAAAACGCATTTTCAAGATCGGACTTTCGTTCATTTGGTAGCCCGAGAAGGAAAGTTTGGGAGATGTAAAAATCGCACAATAAATATGTTGTATACGTTTTTACGAAGGCTGTGAATATGAAACAGATATAATCTGACAAGCAAGTCAGAATAAATTAATTTGTATAACGTCATAAATATATGGGAATGCATTCCATACTAATACAGTTTCCCCGATAGATATCAGCTTTATGTTATATCTTGTTATTACAGATAAAACTCACAAGTCAAATCTCCCGCATAAATTTCTACAAAGCTAGCAATCTTGCTTTCAAAGAGTTCCAACTAAGCACGTCACTATAAAAATAGACAAACATCATATATTTGATTTATAAAATGTTTTGACAAATGTCGACTGTCACTGACACAAAAAAATGAGCATGGTCTTCATATACACCCTATATGTACACATAGTCCCTTTCTAAATAAATGTTTCAATTGAATATTTTCCACGAAATTATATATGCCAATGGCTAGCTTGTAATCAGAGGTTTACTATCTCAAAAATATCGATATTTTATAGTTATCGCCAATAGTTAGTACATGACATAAATTTGTTACTTTTACCCTTTTCAAAACAAAGCACATGAATTTATGAAATTTATATCTTATGCAACAGTGTAACAGAAGGGTTGCAAGTTTCATCTCCAAAGGAAAAGTGTTATTGTTGAACATTCAAACAAGACAAGATAAAATTAAAACCAAACGTAGAAGTCAAAAGGTAACCTTCTAACCAAGACTAGATGAAATTTACTTCAATCATTGACTGTTAGCTAACTCTTTAGAACATGTGTTGTCCTAGCTGGCCAAATAAAAAAGTGTACAAGATAAAAGAATGAAACAGCGTCATTTCAATACAATTCATTTTTCAATTCAGCAATCAGACTTAAAATCCCACTAATAAAATCACACTTATGATATGTCACCTATACGTAACCAGGTTTTACATAATCTTCATTAAAATATGCTATGAGTGACAATTTGGAAAGCAAGTCTTGAAGTAGGTATTCGCTAGAACAATGCACAGAAAATAAGTCAATTCAAGCAATGCTATTTTGATAACCTTATCAATATAAACTTGCGAGCTAAAAAAGTCTCCCGCAAGGGATCATTTGTCCATGCGTTGTTAGCTACTAGCTATGTAATTTAAAAAACTGAAATAATCAAATGCCAATTATCATAAAAATTATCCTAAAAATGTCCTGGTAAGAGCCGTCTTGTCTGAGAAACATCCAGCATATCTGCTAACTTCTTTGACAAAAATACCTTTATTAATTCAATCTGAAAAAAAAATGCAATCAGGAAATGTGAGCCTGATAAGAAACGCTTTAATTGCTATTGCTAGTTGCTCTTGTTTGCGAATTAGATGAAATATCTACGTAAGAAAAATGCCAGCACCACGACAAAGACGTCTTGAATTAGCTAACTACTCTCAAATGTAACTCCTGTAATTTTCCTGATAGTATGAAATAACGCATCATGAAATTTTTTATCATGATTGTTCACGTAGACATTGCGATGTGTTTGACAGTATCAAAAATTTTCATTTTCATGCTGCGTGAAAGAGATTAACAGTTTTTCCCGATAAAATAGGGCAAATTAAATTAATTTTTAGCGTTTGCAAACGAGTGCAAACGTTGAGAGTCTGCTTGACACAAGGATTCCCTAGATGTTTAACTACTATGTCAATGTACGCAAGAACGCCATCTTGAAAGGTGGCAAAAATGAAATCTAGACTATCAACTTTGCAACTGTATATGAACTGAAGGAACGTAGATAATAGGGAAAAATATCGTCAGTTTTGCCACATTTCAAGATATTTAGTAGCAGAGTCAGATATCTAGTACATTGGGTTCCAGGTCAATAGTTGGCTTTACATTGTCGCCATTGGCGTGGCCACAAGGCTATTTAAATTCCAGAACATTATCCTTATTCACGTCTTTAGAAACCTATTGTTTATACAAAGGGAACAAAAAAATCTGCATGGCATGTGTAGCATGCTTAGTAAACGGTCTGACTACACAACTTATCCTATTTCAGAAATAAAAGCGTTTAAAAATTAATCCGACTAACCATCAACAATGACTTCGCAATCACATTTTGTCGAGCCAGCGGTATTCGCTGCAACACATTCGTACAGTCCTTCATCTTCAACTTGAATGTTTTTGATGTCCAATCTGAAAACACTTCCTTTACTGACTATCACGTGACGATTGTTCTTACTGGTCAAAAGACGATTTTCCATAAACCACTGTACGTTTGGTCGTGGTTCACCGCTGACAACAACTTCTAGGCTCACGTCTTTGCCTTGTGAAACTCTATAGTCCTTGAGAGTGACTAAAAATTCCGGCGAGGTGTTCCTAAAAAAATGAGAAATTCTTGAAATCAGAAAACATTTTGAAAATAAACAACATTTTCGAAAAGGACGAAGCTTGATTGAGGGTTAAGATTTGGATATCAAACATAAAAAGCAACCATTCATTTTACTGGCACCAGGCACCAAGAACCTGCATAACTCCTCGTCCCAAAAACTACACATCAACTGCTGTTACAGAAAATTGCACAGATAAGATTATTTGGGGATAAGATACATCGATACATACTAATAATTAGCGAGATGAAAATAAATCTTTGTAAATTTTATCGGAAATTTAGTTTCTGAGTTTTGGACATTCGAATACTTTTATGTGAACAAGGCAAAATTACTTTTAGCTTTGGCATGTTTTAAGAATTCCCATTTGATAAAATGGGAATTTCTTCAAACATGTCAAAGCTAAAAGTATCTCTTTCAGAGAGTATTGCAGGACTCTTTGATCACACATAAAAACTGCCCTATTCCTGACAATTTTGCAACCTGAAAACTATTCAAACCAGACCATGTAGCTTTCCTTACTTTAAAATTTATTCATTTGTTACTATTTGATTTCATAAGAGTCTCAATAAGTTAATTTTTTATTTACCTTACACGCTCTTTTTCATTCTTATTCGTGGAATCGCTTTCCTCGTTATTGTGATTTTGCCTACTCTTTGCCTTATCTTCAACATGCGTTTCTTTATTCGGAGACCCTCGAGATATGCCGTCATTTTTTGCAAAAAGCGTGTCATCCTTTTTCTCTACTCCAAACGTGTTCGAAATATTGGTGGCAAGATCTGAGATTTCCTTTGATGCTTCCACAATTGACTGGTCTGCCTCTTGTTTTCTTGATCTCAGCAAATCAAAAAGTTCAGCATCGCTGCGTGTTCGGGTCATTTTCGGACGCTCAACGTGTCTTGGTGGGGTTTTAACTTTTTCCGTAAACATATCCTCGGTGATGGATTTTTGCTCTCTTCCATTATTGCCATCTCTTCTGCCGATATATAACTTGAATTCTTGATACAACTTGAGTTCTTGTTTTCCTTTGGCTCAATTTCTTCCAAATGAGGGAATTTCGTATGTAAATTTGGCGAATTACAGTCATCCAATTTGACTGGTTTTCCCGTAATTGGTGTCGATGTCAGAAGCTCACCCGATGCAAGTTTCTGTTTCATGTCAGAAAAATTAGAGCGAGATGCGAACGGGATTATTTCTTCAGAGGTCAAACTGTTCGCATGAGATCTTTTCTCCAGGTCTCCATCCCCGCTCGAGAAAGACCGAGAGCGTGGCTTTGAAAGAACTGCGGGTGGATTGAATTGTCCAGTTTGAAATTTCTTCTTTGAACTCCAGAATTTGGCTTCCAAACCGACATCCATATCGTTAAGTGCTTCAACATCGGTGGGTTTGGGTAGGTGAGTCCAAAGCGGTGCTTCGTAGGGGTCAGCTGAGAAACGCCATTGCATTGTGGATTGTCTTGATCTTTCCATAGCCAGATTTTTGTGAAGTTCCTTTGCTGGTCCTTTCATGGGAGGACGGGAAAGATTCAGAATTCCTTGCTCTGCTGCAAGCTCGCGGTTTTTAGGATCGTTGTCATGGTAATCATCGTCAAGAAAATAAGAATCACTGAAAGAGGACACAGAGCTAGCAGCAGGTGAGGACATGCTGCTCCTACTGGCAGACGGGACGCCAGAGTCCACTACATCGGACTCAATGCGCCTGCGCTGCTGTAGGAGATACAAAGAGAGTTCATCATCCATGGTGGGACCAGTAATGCTAGTAGGTTCACCACGTGGGTTGAACTTTAGACCTCTTTTGCTGGTGTCCAGTCTTCGCTCAAATTGGATTCTCTCTCTTTCTGTTTGGGGAAATCTTGCTTTTACCGTAGACCTAGAAATTGATGAGGAGAAATGACAAACATTTCAGTACTTTATGCAACACTTCACGTGAGGTAGTGATCTCTGCCATACCTCCATCTTCTTTTGCGAACAAGATCCAACCATGCAGGCTCTTTAAGAATTGGTTCTTCTGGAAGTTGGGGTTGCTCCCGTATCCAAGAATCAGAAGGCTTCAGTTGGCTTTTGGGTTTGTTTGCCCCACGACTTGAAGCTGTCTTACGCCAGTCCCCAGCGATCTGAAGAATGCAATTCAATAGAAAATTTTCAAAAATTTTTTTTGACACTCAAAGGGACAAGTTTTTTCGGAATAACTTCTGGCTTGGTAAAAAGCATCGTAAAATAAATATTGACCGTGTTTACATCCAAAAAAGCTTAGCAGTAGTGGGAATCAACGAAGGAAGCAGTTCCCTAAAACAACATATAATTTTATTACTTGCAAATCATTACTGCCTTCATTAATGCAGACCTTATGTTGATCCAAGGAGCTTGATTCTTTGTCACCACCGCATTCGTTCTTTTCTGACGCTGTTTTTTTAAAAGTTAAATGCGACCACTCATCACATTTCACACTACTGGAAGAATTTTTCCGTGCAGGAGGAGTTGATGACCAACTGGATGTCTTTACTTCTGGATCAAAATTGGCATCTTCCTCTCCTTCAAAGAGCTTGCCACCATGTACTGTGTTTGTATAGTCTTTTATTGGCTGAGTCTTATATCCAGCATTTCCTGGAGTGGACTTCGATTCGTCAATTTCTGTATTTGATGGTCTTTAAAGATATCAATTAAAACGAAAATGCAGGCATTTTAACTGAATCATATGAGCAAAAGGCAGTTCGTGAATTAAATACATTACGAAAGCGGGATATCTACCTTTCCCAATTTTCATTCAATTCGGATCGATTGGCGTTTATCATGAGCTCCTGTCCATCGATAATATGGCGACGATGGGCACCGGAAACATCTGATTATGAAAAAATTGTGACTATAGCTCTTCAAGATAAACCCTATCTCCGTAATCAGCACACACAAGCGACGTTTTTGCAACAGCGCTGTCAAACCAGATGGTTTATGTGGTGTATAAAACCAACCAGATACCGGCTTACTCTTACTGCTCTCGTTGCAATAATTGCAGTTATGACCATACAAATAGAGAAATACTGACAACTGTGGTCGCAGTAAGGAATCACTTTAGCGACTCAGATGTTGCCATAACATCAGTATGAAATTTCATCATACATACAAGTATTGAATTTTATGCGAACAATAAAATAGTGAAATAAACACCATATGCCTAAAATTCCGGGGGGTTTGATTGGTTGTACAAATTTCTTTATTAATATTGTAACTGCATTCAAGATGAACATACGGTGTTTGTCATTGGTCAAAAATTGCATGTTGACCTTTCACGCCAATGGTTGACAGCAATAAGATTAAAGGAAAAAAAATTTTTTTGATTGCATTTATCAATAGCTATTGTCAAATGATTTGCCAAAACCCTAGCAGGACATTCTACTTTTTACTTCTTCAATAATTTTTATCGTCGAAACATGAATCACGAAGCATTGAAAATATTTCTGTCAGGCAAATTGATGAGTATTTGAACAAGTTTATTATTTTTGTAAAAAGAAAAAGGAGTATAAGAACCTTGTTCTTTCGCAAGAAAGGAGTTACCTTTCGTATTGCTAAGAAAAAATGATGGAAAAATTATTTTGTCATCCAGGAAAAGCTTGTAGCTGCCATTATTGTTTTTGATGCAAACTATATAATTATTTTGAAAAGTTTGAAATGTGTGTATCACTTAAGCGACAAATTTCTGTATAATCTACACTTCAAAACTTCGTATAGTAAAAAGATCACTCCATAGTTCGTTCGTTTGTGCGATTTTACAATCGGCACTCGTTAAGAAGGATTGAAAATAAATTAGTTCCCTACAATCATTCGTTTGTTTGCAATCCTTCTCGATTCGGGCATAAAAAACGTGTGCACTCACCGACTATGAGTTAATTTAGCTATGTGTGTTTAATCAAAAATATTCACAAGGACAAAAAATTGTGCTCAGCATGTGGTGCATTTCTTGTCTCAGTGAATTAATCTTATTGTGTTTATGCAGAACATGTTGTTGCTATGCTATGTTGTTAACTATGTATGAGCTGATACGGTATGCGGGCTTATCCCAAAAAACAGATTATAGTAAAACTCATTTGTAATGTGTATCTAAATAATATTTCGACGCAACAAACTGTGAAATTGTAAAAAAATATTATCATAATTTGAAAAGACAGCTAATTACCATCACTTTTCCCATTGTAGGAATTTTTTTCTTTTTCTGCTTGTTTAAGCTTTCTTTCCGTTCGATTCCACGCTCTTTCCTCGGCGTGCGCCATTTTACGTCGTCAACATTCTTCGGAAAGCTGAAACAATAAGTTATGCGGATTCATTTAGGTTTTTTCCCATCTGGCATCATCTATTGTCAATGTTTGTTTCAATTCTTGTTCCTTCGTCAAGAGTGACGTAAAAAGAGCAACTTTATCTCTTATGCAGGTCTGGGCTTTCACAAGAATTCAACAGAAGGCGAGCTATGTGGCGTTAAAAGTTTAATCAAAGCCTTCCAGTCGATATCCTCATTTGACGTAGACACAGCGAGGTATGCCCAATGGGCAAACATGCAATTCACATCCGCTTTGTAGCCTAATTCTCTCATTCAAACAAACACCCCTGCTTCACTAAAATGGCAGAGGTGAAAAATTCTAGTTGTATATCTATTTCGCTTGACGCTTCACATTTTTGGCGCAACAAATATTATAACGAGCGACTTTTCCTACAACAAAATAGCATTTTGCGTAAAGCAGTTTATCTATGCGGCGAACAACTTAATGTTTGATTCGGCTTGCGGCGACCTTTTCTTTCTAAAATTTTTGACAGTCCGAAATATAAATTAACAACACGTTCATAAATACAGCAAAACATCCACATGCATAGAAATTGTACTGAAATATCTCCCCCCAAACCTGTCAGAAAATAACAGACAGAACATGTTAAAAAGCAGCGGGATAAATGTCTACGAAACGTTCGAATTTCTGCGCCCTACATCACATAGTCATTGAAAGCAGACGCCACTGACATTATTCTTTTCAAACTTTTTATTCATAAAGCAAAAATTATCGTCAAGTGCTGGAGCGTGCAGGCGAAAATATTGTACACATACGCTTCTACAATTACAGCAAAATTTGTAGGAGAGTTTTGACAAATATTTTAATTGGCGTTTAACGCTATAGTTGAGTTACCTTTATAGAATTTCTGTTCTCTATGACAATAGTCTACGCTTGAATCTTGAAAAACATTTTTTCATTACGTTGTTACCAAATAATTTACAACAGCACTGGACCGGCGAAAGAGGGACCTGGTCTTTCGCGAATCACTCACAAGCTCTAAATCCGACCATTTCCCCTGGGGTTGCGATATGCTCTTAATGCCTCCTACGATTTGACGCATACATTATGCATAATTGTGACAATTCATCGCGTGAAAAACTGTACTGCCAATGATTGTGACCAGTCGAATCTGATTCCTCGCAAGTGTCCGAATGTTGTTTGAATACGTTAATGTTGTCAAAATAGAAAACTAGTTTACGACGACGGCGTAGATGATAGGTTGATGAAGAAGCATAAGGAAAATGTCATCGGGAAACAGGTTCGACGCAAGAATTGTGCTCAGTTGTGGTCTTTGTATAAACACAGGCCTTAAACTATGACCTAAATGACCCCCTATCGTCGACAACACCAACTGAACACAAGTTCGATGTGAATGAAAGAAACTAATTCGAGTTTGCTAAATAAATAGCACGATAATCCCATACGCATCAAAAATTGCTCAAAATATTGCGAGAAGTTTTACAATAGGCGAATCCTTTTGAAATCGAATTTCGGAAGACGTGTCAAAGTTAATTATCTACCAAAACTTATTAGGAAGCAATTTTCAACAAAAATATTTTGCGTCTGTTCTCTGCAAGTGTAAAACTGAAGCTAGAAGCAAGGTTTTGTCTTACTAGCGACTGTCGATTTCCAGCAACTGAAACATAAACTTAAAAAATATGTAAAAAGAGTATCCGCATTGTCTAGTGAGGCTTAATTATGAATTTTCATTCGAACACACCGCGGGCTCAGCAAGAAATTTCCATGATTTTTCCTTTGCAGTTAAAGACATGAAAATTATTTGACAATGACTTCATGAAATAGTTCGGTTAGATAGTTTCCTGCTGCTGAAATTATTTCCTTATGTACATGTTTTAGTCAGCAAAAAAAGGAGTTGAGTGAGATTTTCAAACTCTGATGAATACCCGGATCACATTATGAAGATTTTGAAACGTTCATTAAGGCTCACGATGCTGCTTCAGTATTGAACACCCTTTTGCAATTTCATTTAGCCAGTTTGTTCCTTCGATTGCTCGTCGAGAGGGTATTTCAAATGTTCAGTTATGCATCATCCGTTGAAGGGAACATTGCAGATCAACAGAGATTAATAAAGCAGACTGTGGACATACGAACTGGCCTTCTCTCTTCCAACTATACAGAGTGTCACGTCCCTAGTTATATTATCATAAAAACGGCCAATTAACAACACGGATTTCAAAAGCTTTTAAAACTAATAGAAATCACAATACTTCATTAAGCTCCATTGACCATGTATTCCCTTCATTAATTCGCATGGTTTTGTTCATCTTACTTCAAAACGAGTTTTTTTTTAGTCAGCCAAATACGTCAAACACCATGAATTACGTTCGTACTATGTTTTACGGTCATTTCAAGCTGAGTACATGTTGAGGATCAAAATGTCACTTGTTAAAGGCATTATTACTAACCTAATATGGTTAGAATAATCAAAAAACGGCGATGAGGACTATTTTTTAGCTCTTTAAATTTTGATTACGAGCTCGAGATTTCCAGGTATGAGGTGATAGTTGAATGATACCAGTATTCATAAAGAAAAGGGCTGCTGTAGTTTTCCTGGATATTGTTCATTTGCTGTTGTTGACATTGTTTATATTAATGAGCGAACGATTTTTGCTCAAAGCATGTTTAGTTATTTTAATCATATAGTCTACGTATAAATATCTTAACGTTGCACTAATATATAGTGGCAAGTTTAGTCTAGAAATTCTTAGTAAACAAACAAGTTTATGGTGAGAAAACTAAGTAAAATGAGATGCATATCGGGAAATGTCTTGCAAACAGTGAACTGTAGACTCGGTCGCGAAAAGAATATCTACTTAAAACTTACGCCAGCCGTTGTCATTGCTTTTGCTTACAATAACTTTCCCGCCTGTGAAATGTTTTATTTGATTTGCTCCTATGATTACTTCACTAAACAATCAGGAGCACTTTTAAAAAGAAAGTGCAATAGTATTTACGAAAAATTCCATTGCTTTAAGCCAGGGGTCTCCAAACTACGGCCCGCGGGCCAGATGCGGCCCGTTGGGCCTCTCAATCCGGCCCGCAGAGACACTTAAGAAAAATAATAATGTTATTAAACAAAACAAACTTTGTGCAGAAAGTTCACGTTATCACGCAAGTCAACTAGCAAGAGTGGCTTTTTGTCCCAACGTCAATTTTGTCCAAACTTCAACAAACAAATGACTTGCTGAGGAAGAATTTAAAGAAAGAGAACCGAAAGAGAACTATCAAAATTGAGGCATTTTACTGCAGGACTGCTATCTATGTTTGGCACCACATACCTGTGTAAAAATCTTTTTCTTAAATGAAGTATATGAAAAACAGTTATAGAACAAACATGTCAGGGCTCTTCTAATGCTTGGAACCTCAAACTTAAAGCTAGACTTTTTTACAATTTTGTCATGAAAAAACCAATTTCACCCCTCACATTGAGAAAACTGAACAGAATAATTGTGATTTTGTTATGATACTACTCTTGGTTGAAATTAAACCTTTAAAGTTTAAATTTTGAGTAAATATTTTCTTAACTAATGAAGCTTGTGTTATGTACTTCATTTTATTAAAATATTCGCTCTTTGATCAGCGGTATACGGTTCGTCGGCCCTCAACATGCTGAATGAAAGTTCATGTGGCCCTCTGGCTGTAAAGTTTGGAGACCCCTGCTTTAAGCCAATCAGAGTGCAGAATTTTTCTACGTACATTTTTAAACCTTAATAATATACATGAAAAATTTATCAATCCTGATTGGTTTAGAGCATTGCAATTTATCGTAAACACCAGTGCAAAAATAGGAAACACAGTGCAAAAAAGGAAATACAGTGCAATGAAAAATGTGCTCGTGATTGGTTATCAAACAAAGAAATGATCTAAGAGCCAATCAAAATAAAACATTTCAAAAGCGGGAAAGTTAAATTATTGTAAACAAAGCAATTACAACGGCTTTGGTAAGTTTTAAGTAGATTTTCTTTAGCGAAGGAGTTTACAGTTCACCGTTTGCAAAGTGTTTCTGGATGAAAATAATAACACTGCTAAAAGTAGATACCTTGTTCTAGCTGCGTGTGCGGAAGCTATGGTGTTGAAAGAAATATCAGACGGATTGAAAAATACGAGCCGGTCGATCGATGGTTATACTCGCCGGATGAAATGTACGCACGCTGAAGTTAAAAATCAACAGAATTGAGAAATTTTTTCATGTATATTGATAGTCTTTGAAAAACTCACTCGTGCATGCTTTTCCCAAATTGCACTCGAAACCATGCTATTACCTACACTAATTAAACACATGTAAAAATTTCTAAATTCTGATTGGCTTAGAGCAGTTAAATTTTTAGTAAATACTAATGCAAATTGCTTTTTTCATTTGAAGTATTGAAAATAACGAAGTAAATAGCCAAGAATTGCGAAGTATGTTCTGGAAGTCAAAATTACTTAATATCTTAAATTGAAAATTTTTATAGAAGAGAGTGGTTACGATTCATCGACTTCTGGGTTTTTGACTGAGCAGACGTGTGGATTGTCAGGCGAAATGCCAGCGTATGAGTATGGAATGAATATAGTTAAGAGACAAGTTCTGTCGAGATCAATCAGGATGAGTGCAGCATATGCATGGAACAAAAGCTATATTCATTCAAAGACCTTCCGCTCATCTCCTTCAATTCACTTTTTACGTGATGTGGAAGAGCACAACACGAAATTATTCAAGTTACGACTGATTTAAATCATCGAGGGCGCTCTAATTAATTCCCTGAACTACATAAGATTTCATACAATGGATGTCAGACACAAGAAAAAATTTTTTGCACGTAGTTTTGACTTATAAAGGGATCTGAAATGCTTACGCAAATCAACCTTTGAACCTTCATGTCATCACATTCACAAAATGAAAACGCATTCAACAATCTAGAACAACACATTCAATTATAATTCAATCACAGTATTTATAACACGAATGGAATGTTACAAACACACAACGTCGGTAGTTACGATTCCACTTTCCATATCCTTTTCCTTACAAGCCAACCCTGACAGGTGGCGATACCAAGATCACACCATCACCTCGCACAAACAACATTGGGATGTTTCTCTTTGATGTCTAGAAAATACAATCTCAAAATAGTTATGGACATTTAACCAACTATGAACAGCAAACTACAAAAGACAATTGAGGTTTAGCAAGAATACGAGTACAACCACTAGTGTAATGCACGTCATTTTTGCGCGAAAACATTGCTGTGACAACAAAAACTTGTGACCGTCATCAGAAAGGCAAAGAAAAGTTTTTCACTTTTCAAAGCTTTTCTACAAATTTTTTGCTTCTTATTTCTTATCATGAGATTGATGATATAGAGGTAATATAATCCAATAACTTTCTAATTTCTAAAAAGCTTTTAAGCTTCTAGCATAAAAGTACACTATAGGAATGTAATTCATTTGGTTTTATTGCCTTGCTATGACATATCTACTTGCACTTCATCATTCTTGTATGAACAAAACACCAGATGTGGATACTCAGAGAACAAAATGCACTACCAACTGCTTATGAAATTTATTATTGAGGTGAAGACTGTGTTAATCATTCAAATTATAGTGCACTTATATTGCAAATATAGGAAAAACAAAACAAAGTGAAAAGAAAGGTAGAAGTATTAAAACTACAAATGAATTATAAACACCATTGGAAGCATAAGTGTTTTGATGATTATTTGCATTTTGCCCAATTCATATATCAATACAACAAAATCAAAATGTGCTACAACTTCACAAGTATTTGATGCAGTTGCACTTCAGAACATCACAAAAAGGTTACTTAAAGTAATTTCTACACAATATTGTTTGTTTTTATTTACTAAACCTATGCAGACTTGAGTCTTTTTGAAATTTCATATGAAACTCAATTACAGAAAATCCGTAAATATCCAGAGATATAATATGTACTTTTTTAAAGAAACAAGTAAAAATCCTACAATTGTGGCGAAAAAAGCCATTGCCCATTGCATGAAAAGAAGCAAAATAGCAATGATAACAAATAAGCTGACTTCTCTCTCGTGAACCGTGGAGATGAACTATGATATACTTTTTTGTATAGACTAAAGAGTTTAATCGATCAAACAAATTTGACGCTGGTAAGAAAACGACGCACATCTGCATTCATACATGTGTAGCCGACATATAGGTCTTTCGTCGATAGTTATAAATGCATCCTCGTAGGAGCAGATAACTGACAACCACAGTTGACTCGCTGTTATGAATTTAAGGTTTTTACCTTGATTTTCATCAAAAATTGCTTGCCAAATCCCAAATACACACATACATTTTCCTCACTCTTTCCTCAGGAGGAGTGGGAAATTGTGAAATTTTCGGAAAAGCGGTCAATTTCGGTAAATCTCAGCGGCAACGGACGAAATCCGCCATGTTTTTTACAACATGCGATATCTAAGGCCGCGCTTGAGATAGCCGCTCCAGTTATTATAGAACTCAATGGTTAAGCTACTTTGAAATTCATTGTTCTCAACAGATTATACCATGCAATTATGAATATGAGCTTTTGAGCGCAGATGTACATTTAAAACGAAAAAACTCCCTATAACACCTTTCACATATTTCGTGTACGCAAAGTGAAGTGGAAACAAACTGCAAAATACTAAAAATACATCATACAGTCGTGTAGCTCGTTTTGTTGTTTACAACTAAACCAACATTTTGACAAACCGATAACGATGAAAAACTTCCTCGTGCCATCCCTTACACAGTCAAACGTCGTTTTGGTGCAAAAACTTTGTTTCAACAACAAAAACTTGTAACCATCATCAATCTGAGTACAATATTTCGTTATTTGTTGTGTGCAAAACTTGTAGTCGCGACTAGGAAGTCATGAAAGGCAAAGAAAGTCGGTATTTTTTTCATTTTTCAACTTAACTGTTTGAAATTTAATTTTAGGCCGTCCAAGATTAACTTCAATACATGCTTTGAGCCAGATGAACATTCAAAAGGAAAATATGACCTGCTTAACTTTCATGTATACATGCAACACTAAACAACGTGAAAACAAACTGTAAACAACTACAAACATTTTTTCATTTATAAAATGTAAAAAAATCAGAATATCCTTCTGTAAAGAGTTGGAACCGATTTATCGACATTATTATTAACAGACTACGTAGAGCCGTAACTGCATGAAAAAGTCGCTTGCAGTTGTCTACAGCTAAAGCAAAATTTACGCCGAGCAATACGATTGTACGGCCGAAATTCGTACTTGTAGTGTTACTCATTTTCCTTGCTAAAGCTCTCCAATTGTATTCAACATCAACCAAAATTAAAATGCGCAGAGCAATCAGGTAATTGAAACATTGCTGTGCAATAGTTATGAGTTTGCCATATGGACTAAGAAATGGCACTGAACGCATCATTTGCTAGATGAAAGTCTATTTTCAAGTGCAAATTGGTAAATGTCTACTAGCAGCATAAACCGTCGGTTGGAAAAAAGTTTGAAAAAAATGAAAGACTGAGCGGACAAAATGTGTTTGTCGAATGGAATTTCGAGCTTTTGCATAAATAATAACCATGCCAGGGATAGTTTACTTGCAAAATTTAAGAGCAACAACCATTTCATTTTGATAACTGTCAACTGGGGATGCAACAGCGCGTTTTTACAATCGAATATGATCTCTCCACCACATCCTCGTCCATCACTCACTTGAAGTCATCCCTCACCACATTCCTGATCCATCAAACCTGTTACATTGCCTAAATTTTTCTCTGCCCAGTAACTGAAAACTACAACATTTGGTTCCCAAGTTAATGCTCTTCTCTTCTCATTACATGTGCATGTGACACTTTTAATTCTTCTCAAATCCTCGTGATTTTTGCAGTACTTTGAATCTACTCATTACTGATTCTGTCTCTACTAGACACTCGTGACAGAACCCACCTTAACATTCTCAACTCTACTACTTCTAGCCTTTCCACTTGTATGTATAGCTGTCACTGCACAATGTTGGTACAGTTTTCATACCACAAATCTTGCTAATCTAACACTACTCTTATAAAGTTCGTTTCTTGTTGATCACGCAGCACCTCAGTTAGTTTCTTGACCTGCTTGTAAGCATCTCAGTGTTCACTTCAACATCAATATCTCCATCATCTCTTATCATCGAAGGGGCTGAACACGGTTATTTTAAAACAGTGACATTTCAAAATCGTATTCCAGCTTTATTGACTGATCTTCTTTATTTCCATTATAATATCAACAATAGTACCATATGCTCTGTCTTATTGCGACTCACCTAAAGGCCCTTCCTTTCGAATAAGTCTACTCATTTCACCAGGCTTCCAGACAGCTGAGTTCAACTCATCTATACTATCTCCAAACAAAACATTATCATCAGCAAACAATGTGCACCAAGGCGCTTCTGATTTTTTAACTTCTGTCAAAATGTAGTCTTACTCTTCCCTCAATTCCTCAAACATCATGGGTGCACATCAGACAGTTTTTTTTCACTTTCCTACATGTCTCGCACTAGTCTCAGTCAAGTAACTTTTACACATTATAGTCATATATAAACATTGTGATACCGGTATCTCTTTTTGTGGTACTACTCTGTGATACGATTTTTTGTGAAAACAATAAACCAAATCAACTAATGAACTCAAATTCTTGCATGGACACAATCTCTTGGACATTAAACATATCAAGCCTAAGACAGCCTAGACCAGTCTCGCTCTCAGAAAATCAATGTTACACAAATATTAGTGGACGAGCTAAGTTCAGCAACAAGAAAACCCCAGATATACTAATAGATTATGGGCAAGCTGTGTGCAAGTTCTGAAATGGCTTAAGTATGTTTTGGATATAGGTAAAAATACACCTAAAAAACATTAGGAACAGTTGCAGGAGAGGGTTTGTGGCACTAAGGGGAAAGAGCAATTCTGGCACCCATCAGCACTCCCCTTCCTCACCTATGTATTTGTATGTGATGCATTAAAATGTCTGCCTTTTAAAAATTTTCTGTTGCATTATAATTAAAGAACAATTTAATAGACATGGAATCTAAAATTCACGCTAAATAAATTGATTTAGAAATATATGACTTAACTTTTTTGTACTTTTTTTGGAAAAATGGTCAATGACTTCATTAAAATTGATGGAATCAAATATTATCATGCACGAATGGAGTCTTTGCATAAACCTAGTGTGGTGACAAAAATTCTTTCGTTTGCCTGACTGCACCCCCATTTCTTTTGATGCCTGAAGGCAATTGCCCTACTTGTTCTTCCCATCATACCATCACTGGTTTAATAGCAATTATGTACAAATTAATACAATGAAGCTACCTTTTGCATGAAACAAATGCTGATGCTGTGCAAATGTATTGTGAAAAGTATATCTTCGTTGAGCAGTGGACATGCTTTCTTGTAGTTATGACAGACTGAACAATGGAGTTATTGAATTTTCGCTCATTTCATCATCAACAAACCTTAAACAGCTCTTCATAAGTTTCTTCATCGATCTCCACAGATGTCACGGTCTCCTCGACTTCACCGAGAATCATGTTTAGATGTTGATCGTATGCCTAAATTAAGCAAAATTTTGTAACAAAAGCAAGGCTGCAAGTGGAATTGCAAACAAAAACGTGATTTTCCCTAACCCCAAACGTCATGCTCTAAAACTTACATGAAGTCTTCCCCTTAGTTCCCTGTCATTTCTTAATTTCACATAAATTCGTTCATCAATGCTAAGTCGGACGAGATCTAAGGGTTCTTCCACGTTTTGCTGTGGTTCCTTTTCGTCAGCCATGTCGGAACTAAGTAACTGTACACGGGTATGCTGCGCACGCGCTCGCCACATTCGCGATATGGGTAATCCCCTCCTGGAAAATAAACGTTGTCACACTTTCGAAAACACATCACCAGTACGGCTAGCGGAATCGTGGCCGCATCTCGCTTTCATTTTAGCCCTGTTTTCCTAAAAAATACATCATCCACATCTATGGAGAGTGGATTTTATCGTATCGAGACAAATAAAGCCACTTGGGAGCTGCCTGATCGCTACCAAGAGCTACAATCTATTGGCTCAGGAGCATACGGATTAGTGTGGTAAAAACGCATGTTTTTGAACAAAGCCGTCGATGATAATCACATTTCTTGCGGGCTTCTTTTTATTTATTAGCGTATTCTTTTTTGAAGTGTGATAATTTCGTTTAATCAGTGCAAATTCGTTCGGACACTCGAATGTCACAATTATGTTTATGATTATTTTGTTATTACGAATGACGCATTAAGTTTGTTTGGAACAATCTATAATTTGATACACACCTTTGTAATTGCTTGGATTTGATGGCTATAAATACATTAATCAAAATTTGTAGATTATTTATGACTCTATAAACATCTGCATCCTGGGTAACGACGGTAACGTCTGCATCCTGGGTATCCTTGGGTCTTGAGCAGCATCGCCCGTCCTTACTCCAGTTATCATTTGTATGAAATAACGGGCACAGAAGTAGCTTTGAAAGCATTCAATGTATATTTAAGAAAGTTAAGGAACCAATTGGTCATGGATTCTCCATTCATCAAGTATGCTGAAGAAATTAGGGGCTTTCTGTCAGTACAGTTCAATTGATCTCCTCTTCCACAGACACCCCTCCACCCCCCAACTTTGGTTGAGTTTTGATGGGCTTGTCTTTTGTATGTTAAGGGCAGAAACCTTAGCGTGAGCCTTTTTTTCTATTAAGTAATCATGTTTCACTTTGACATAGTTCAGCCTTGGATACACGACACGGTCAAAAGGTTGCTATTAAGAAGTTTTCACGACCATTTCAATCGCTGATGCATTCTAAGAGAACATTCAGAGAAATAAAGCTCTTGCGGCATATGAATCACGAGAACGTATGTGCTTTTGATTTTTGCTAAATTAATTGCTCTATGAATAAATGCATTGCTCTAACAAGTACAATTTATTTGTCAAGCATTTTTCTTTGGCCTTATATAATTTCAGATTATTGCAATTTTGGATATTTTTACACCACAGCAAAATTTCGAGGATTTTCAAGATGTGTAAGTAAAGCATGAATCATGTAACACTTACTTTAATTAAAAGTCTAAAAGAATGATCAGAGGCTCACCTTCAATTTAGACACCATCAGACTAAATACAAAGATATTTTATTGTGAGACCACCACTAATGAAGTTATTAGGGCAATAGACTGCAGTGTTCCTAGGAAGTGGCATAGTCCCTCCAATAATTCCCATGCTATGGTCTTTATACATATAAATAAATAATGTTAATTATATTAAACAATGTATTTGAAAATTGGTAACCCAGGCATAATATGATAATATAAAGGACTACTACTAACCAGCCAACTACTAACCAACTAACCAACCAATCAGACGCTCCAAATGCCTACAAAATCTTTGTAAATAATATATTCTTACATTCTGACAAAGGCTCGAAGCACCGAGTTGAAAGCTTAATAAAAATTTCAAAATAAAAATCCAGAGAATCCTTTATATTATCATTAAACAATGTATATAATCATGGAAGCTATATTTTTATGTGCATGTTCTACTTTATTGTTCCTATTGAAGTCAATTTTTATTGCACTATAACATATGAGTGTATGAATAACAGCCCCCCCCCCCTTATTGATCTTCTGTGGTCCTTGATAATATTTAAGTGACATTTTGGGGATGGTTTGTTCCTACACCAAAAAAATTCTTCTGAATGGCATATATACACTGCAAACAGTTTACAAAGAATACCGATCCATTTGCAATCTATCCCCAAATTCATTTCTTTTTTTTATTTCCCTACTTTCACTAGATACATGGTGACACAGTTAATGGGTGCAGATCTCAACAGCATTTTGAAATCTCAACAGCTTTCTGATGATCATGTGAAATTTTTAATTTATCAAATTTTGAGAGGCTTAAAAGTATGTCAATTTTTACGAGTTTCCAGCTTTACAAGTCGCCCATTTCAATTGCTTTGTTTTGCATATGTTTTTAGTATATCCATTCGGCAGGCGTCATTCACAGGGTAAGCATGGGATCTTGCAAGTAAAAGCTATCAATGTACATCACTTACTTTATCGAGTTGATTTTTTTTCTTTATTATTCATTATCATTGTTATATACAATTTCACGAAATGCAATGTAATATGATTTTGAATCAGTTTTCGAATGATATCTGTAAAGCTTACGTAGATGATAAATCTCTTATCATCATTGGCAATGGCACTGACAGGGTGGGGATTCTCCCCACGTCATTAATATTTTGAAGACTACCATAAAGCCTCGGTCACACTGCACCCGATAACGATCCGATAACAATGCAAAAAAAATCGCTCGTTATTCAAACTCTTGTGTGCGGTCACATTGCAGCGATAACGATTTATCATTAGTATGTGACCATTGAATATTGTTATAGTTTATCGTTATCGTTTATCGTTATCGTGATCGTCGAACAGTGTGACCGAGGCTTAAACCTTTGCCTATAAGCCTAAGGCATGTCACCTAAAGTAGGGCTTGAGCCCCCACACTTTTTCCCCAAGATAAAGTTTTTGCTAACATTTACATATATTTTAGCCAAACTTAAGGCAGAGTAACACTCAGTAAATTTAATAAATATAAGTCGTAGCATTCCCAGGTTCAATTTAGAGACGCCATGTTTATATGTTGGAGCACGTATTTACGAAGAGGCTAATTAATGGACGATATTATACTGCCCTGATCTGTGAATGTGACACTTTTAATAATATTTGGCGCTAATGCGGGTGAGATAAGTTGTGTGGTGGTGGGCTTATTCACGGTCAGTAGAGCTTATGCGTCAAGTAGCTTATAGGCGGAAGTTTATATAGTATTTACTTGGTGCAACACTGATTATCATACATTCTCAACATCATGCACCAATTGCATCCAAGTTTTACCATCCAACTATCTAAATGATAGGGCTTATTTCTTGTATTAGCTTTAACTTGTATCATGGGAAACATTTGCGTTACAGTGCAACTTCTTAGTAGAGGGCTGAAACTAAAACGTTAAGTGGGGGGTGAATATTCAGCTCTGCCCTGCTGATTCTTTTGAAATTATAATCGCTCAAAATTTAAATCAGTGAAGCTAAGCTGAATTTATGAATATTCACCACCCCTACGTAACATTCTAGTTTCGCCCCTGTTCCAACCCTCGTTGAAAAAGTTGATTTGCCCGCTTCAAATATTACAGGACTTGAAACCAAGCAACATTGCAGTAAACGAAGATTGTGAATTAAGGGTTAGTTCTCCTTTTTTGCTTTTCTTGTTTGTTTTTTTCGTGTAAAAATGAGTTAAATGCCAGTAATTCTTAGAGAACTGTGTGTTTTACCGCATGATGTATCATATATTAGCTGCCTGTAAAATTCTCTGTTTGATAAATTTTTTGAGCCGCGACCAATACAAACGATTAAAGCTGGCCGAATTTTCTCTGTGAGTAATGCAATGTACATTTTTTGATTGAGCTTGGTAAACGAACTAACTGTGTATTTTGTGTTTGTGATTAGTTAATATACACTTAATACCGGAACGTGTGCTCCGAGGGAAATAGTGAGTTTTTTTTCAACGAGTTTCATGTAACATAATATGAAGAAAATAATCATGGAAGAAAATAAAACTCGTTATTTCCCGAGGGAGCATACATTAAGTGTTTTGCTATATAGAAACAGATAATAGATTTTTATAGCTTTTCAATAAAATTAACGTCCTTCGGGAGAGATTCGTCCGGCGAAATTTCGTTGCAAAATGCTACAATGGTGATAAGTGATCACAGCATTTTTTGTGGATGCCTTTTTGTTGCTGCAGACTGAGCTTCCGTAGTAAAGACTGAGGAAGCGAGGTTCATATAGCGTTTATTAATTGTTATAGGCATTATTTGATCTAAAACGAAACTTTCTTAGCTCTTTCTGACTGTTTTTGCAAGAGTTGGCTTGTACTTCTCAAGTAAATTTAATTTTCCGAGTGTTTTTCTTCCGATTCACATTCGTAAATGTGTTTTTTTTTTGTTTCGCTTTTTCCTTTTTACAAAACTTGCTTTAGGAAATTTGTTTGTATGTAAAATCATGCAATACCCGGGCCATCAAATATGTTGCTTAGGCAATTGAACTGCGCAATTTTACCGGATGCTTAACTACCATGTTATAAAAGACTTAAATGGTTTTGCAATTTCATCGCAGATATTGGATTTTGGTCTTGCGCGCATGGCAGACAACGAAATGACGGGATACGTTGCTACAAGATGGTACAGGGCACCTGAGATCATGTTAAATTGGATGCATTACAACCAAACAGGTATCTAACTGTGTCGTTTCTGCTATACCAGGTTGTGGTTATTGGAAACTATAACCGCGAATAAAACTACAGAATGTTGCTATTTTACTATATAATTTCAATTGACATATTTATTTTAGTGGATATTTGGTCTGTGGGCTGTATAATGGCTGAATTACTCACATCAAAGACTCTTTTTCCTGGCTCCGATCGTATACTTTCACGTTATTTATTAAACCTGTTAAAGTGCAGCTAGCTGCGAAACTTTTAACATATTAGCGTTAAACTGGGTGCAATTTCAAGTATGATAAAAGTGTTCAATGTCGGCCAACTCGTCCTCTTGTTATGACCGTTTAAATGTGTCTTCTGGGTTTGCAAATTCTGGGTTTAGCAAAATTCTCACGTCGTCCGTGGCAGCTGGTATATACGTTTTTAAAATTAAAACAATAAAACGCGTGCGGTGATTGGTCTAGAGCCGTGTTGCATTAGCCTGTGCAAAACCCATGTCAGCTCAACCAATCTAATCAATCAAAACAATCAACCAGTCAAAGAGAATTTGCAAATCGATCAGGAATACGTTTTAGATGAAAAATTAAAATGCTTGTGTTTTTCGCATTATTGTGAGAACTCTCGAGCATGTGCAACCCCCAACCTTCGGTCTCAGGCTTGCACTGATCTGCTCTCGAGTTCTCCCAAAGGTCTCCTCGGTTTGCATAATCCCGTGCAAAGACAGTAAACATTTTTATTTCTTAAATAATTTGAATTGACTTACTTTGCATGACTTCACAAAGTAAGTTGTTCAGGACTTTTCTTACGGCGGACAAAGTTCATCAAAAAGGACGTTTTTGCCAACTTGCACGCACACATACACATTTTCTGAAGTTTTTCCCTAACTCCAGTTTGAAGATATTGATCAGCTTACAAAAATTTTGCAGTTAGTTGGAAAACCGGACATTGCCTTCCTCCAAAAAATAACCAGTGAAACTGTGAGTGGTTTGATTTTATACATGTTATCTGTATTTAGTATATGTAAAGCATATATTTACTCTTTTCATGCTTTCGTTCATATATGTTTGTGTAAAATTTGGGAATATTTGCTTCTTCTGTGTAGGCACGAAACTACGTCTCCCAAATGCCCAACTTCAGGAAGAAATCTTTCAGAGACGTATTTGTTGGTGCCAGTGAGCATGGTTTGTTTGTGATTTGTATGTACATTAATCTCGAATCCACTTTATCGGTCTGGAAAAACACATATGCCATATGCATCTATGATCATAGCTACGTCGTCTGTTAATGGTTTGCCCGATACTATTCAAAATAGGCCATTTTAGCTACTGTTAATTCAAACATTTCACTTTAATTCCCGTGAATAGAAAAGGGCAGTAGTTTCGCGCATTTGAAGCGCAAAGTGTTTTTTTTGTAGCCATCGATTTACTAGAACAAATGCTACGACTAGACGCAGACACGCGAATTACGGCCGTGGACGCTTTGGATCATCCATATTTGGCAATATACGCTGACCACGAGGATGAGGTATTCAGATGTATGAAGATCTTGAACGGGACGTTGTCGACATTGGTCATCAAAGAGAAACAGCTACATTTTCAAAAAGATATTACAATAGGGGCTGTTCATTTTCATCTATTCGTTTGACTGAAGATGTTTGAAACACTAAACCGTTTTTCCTTTTCAGCCTGTGTGTGAAACGAAATTTATTGAACCTCAGTTTCCTGAACCTCAGTCGAATGACTTAAATTTTTGGCGAAGTGAGTTTTGATTACATCATATTAATTAATAAGACATGCATGCAAACTGGGTAAAATAATGTTTCAATTCATTCTTGGTGTCGCGGATCTTTTTGTTTGTCTTTGTCGTTTTGTAGGAGGAATGTAGAATTTTATTTTTTTCTATTGCCTCGGTATGTACGTAAAACTCTCGAGAAGCTATAATAAGTACCTCCCTGGTAGGAATGGTCTTTTTTTGACTGGCTGAATAAGACGATAGCAATCAGCACTGTATATTGCTTTTAATATTTGTCATTTCTTTTGCATTTAGTACTTTGAGCAAATCATAATCCCTCATCATATAGCTATAGGTAGATAAAGATAAGTGGTATCGAACGACGACTTTTCTTTTACAAATTGGCAGATAAAATGTTTACTGGCGCTATTTTATACGTTAATAAGATGTTCGAGACTAGTAAACCGAGTTTGAGTTTGGGGTCTTGTCTAGTCGGACAAATGCAGGCGAAGGAGTAGCATAAATTCAGTGTTATATAGATTAAAAATTTTCTAGGAAATTCTCTGGTGGAAAAGGTCTGGTTAAAAAAGACAGTAGAAGTGGCATGATTATTTTCCCGCTATTTTTGAACTAAATGAATGTATCTGCAGCAAGATTGCATTTACAAAACGTGATGCGTTCACTGCAAGTTTTAAATAATTTTCCTTGAACTGCCTATATTTACATTAAAAATGCGTGGCAAGAACGTAAAAAACGAGTGTACATTTCATGTCTGCAGCTTCAACAATGCTAGATCCTAGTCTTTTAGTAGTTTCGTAGTAAATGTTGTTTTTTGTTTCGCCTTTTCTTTTTACAAAACCTGCTTTTTGTAATTTTTTGTATGTAAAATTACGTTTTGATGTAATAGCCGTCGCGTCAAAAATGTTTCTGAGAAATTGCCATGTAACAAAATGGTTTGAAGGGTTTTATAATATTTTATATGCAAATGCGTGTTAACAACGTGAAAAATGAGTAGCCATCTCATGTCTCCAGCTTGAACGTTGCTAGATCCTAGCAATCAGTAATTTGATTCTCGTGGAAAATTCTAATCTCAAACATGACTCCTTCGAATTCTATAACTACGAGTGAGGCCAGCCGCCATCTTGAAAGTGTCAAAACTGATGATATTTGAGAGCAACATCTGCTTCTTCTGCATTGATATGTACACTTGCAGAGTTTATAGTCTGGGGTTTGTTTTTAAAGTGTTAGATATGATTGGCTTGGTTTTATAAACTTTCAAGGCTACCTTTCCCGATGGCGTTTTTGCCTTCTCTTGACACGGTAGTTACATATATAGGGGATCGGGGCCATGGGCGTCAGTCCTGCGATAATTGGGGGAGACCATATTCATATGTTCAGTTTCTTTTTTCTTTTGAAAATGAAATTGTTTTGAAAAGAAATTAGCTAGGCATAGCAGAATATATGAATATGGTCCCCCCAATTAAGACAGGATTGACGCCAATGATCGGGGCGCTATGTTATTGGTCCAACACTTTTGGTTCGATCAGCCGATATGTTAACTTTAGTTGAGAGAAAGGCACTTGTCGGCGAAGATTCGAACAATTAAACCTCATCTAAAGTATCATGATCACATAAATCTTTCTTTTTACGAATGTCGTATTTGAAGAACAAGTCAAATCTCACCAATTGCTTTGTTGCATTTTATAGAATTGACTTTTGAAGAAATTTTGGACTACCGTAATTCAGGCAAAGGAGGCCCTGAAGCTATGGAAACGTGATCTTGCGCGAGTTTTAATCAATTGGAATTTATTAAAACCACTTTTAAAATTAATTAATTTGTAAAACACTTTGCCTTACGTATCAGACACTCTTTCATTTTGCAATATTTAGTCTGACATCCTTAATTTACTACACGAAAAGGTTCGATGAAGAGCTTCGACCTTTATATACAAAATGCAAAAGTATGCTGCCCAAACATGGATGCATTAAATATAACTGAAATGGTCTGCATTATGGAATATAGTATCTATTTAGTAAATCATGTTTAAACGACAGCGAATGTTAATTCAACGAAGCAACATTTTTCAATATTTTGGTTCTTTTTTATTGGAAAATTGACTAGAGCAAAATGCTGTGACGACAAGAATATGCATGTGAAATTTGTCAATTGGAAAAAGTCGAGGGCTATAGGAAAATGTCGGCATTGATGGTATAAAAACCATGACCAGCCGACAATTTAAAGAAGTATAATATGAAACAAATTCCGAAGAAACAAGACATCTTGAGATTTGCAAATATGAATCAAAACAAGACGAGAAATAAACTGTAAGTTTTCGACTATATTTCAAAGTCATCCTCAGACTTCTCGTCTTGTTTTGATTCATATTTTGCAATCTCAAGATGTCTTGCTTCTTCGGAATTTCTTTTATATTATAATTGATGGTATAATTTCGAGGGGAGTGAGTTGAACGTCGAGAGTGGAGGGGAGTGTCAAACCTCGTGAGTGAAGGTAAAAAGCCGAACTGTGAGTGCAAATTTGAGAGGGAGGGTCAAAATTCGTGAACGAAAGCAAAATGCTTAGTAGGGACGTCGAGCGAGAAAGTAAAATGTCAAGGGGAGGATAAAGCGTCGAGAGGTAAGGAAAAATTTCGTGGACGAGAATTAAATTTCGTGAGTGAAGAAAAAAAGTAAAGGAGGAAAGTAAAATGTTCAGGGGGGGAGTAAACTGTCTATTGTGTAGGTAAAAAGTCGAATAGGACGACGAAGAGTAAAGGATGATGATAAAACGTTTCAGTGGGGGTAAAAAATCAAGAGTAAACCTGCTCATTTTAGCGAGTTCTTCGCGAGATAAATTTGTTCTCACAAAAAGCAAGTCATGTTTCTCGAAAAAACAGTTAATCTATTCAATTGAACCAGCATTTCACTATACAAATATTTATGTTCCTTTGTATTTTTTGTACACGTCGCAAATTTCTACCAACGTAACTCTTCGAATGTCAAAGAGTACCGGGCTTAAATTCAAGCAATGTATGGTATTACCAATATGGTATGACAAAGCTAGCCGATTTCTCACTCCTGTTTGAACTTATTTGTGTTCATTTTCGGGAAAAATAATGAAATTAGTTTAGGCTGGTACAAATTCAGGGCTTATCATGCAGTGCCAACCCAAATTCACACTACAGGAAACAAACAACATCGGTCCACTTTAATGAGTTTTTCGTGTCATGCATGTATAAAGGTAAATAGTTGGAATGTTATTAAACAACTCAGAAAAAAATAACATACACAACTATAAACAAGAACATACAAATCTAACAACATTTGAATGTTAACCTCCCACTCTTCTTCCTGGTGAACGAGACAAGTCTACTCAAAATTAGAGAGCCTTGCGGTTTAGCAGAGTTAATCAACTTAATATTCCTGTTCATTTTTGTTTTTAAGCATGTTAAACAGGTCATATGGACAAAGCTCAAATCATATTAAATATACACTAAAATAATCCTATGTTGACAATACATCACAGCTTCCCACTGGAAAAGAATGAATCTAATACCGATGTTGAATATAGATTGTCACAAGCATCCCGCTTGCCGATATGAAGATAAAAATAAGGCTAAATATTTGGAATGTTATTTAACAACACAGAAAAACTAGGGATCCAAGGATAGCCCAAAGTTTCTTAGAAAAAATGTTCCTGATCATGGCAAATAAAATTAGTTTCAAGAAAGCTTAGTATCGAACCTTGGCGTTTCAAAAAATGCTAAACTGAAACTCATTTCGAGAAGTGCTTATCAAAGGCTAAGCAGTTTGTTTTTTGACTAATAGCTATAACTTGCTACAAGATTGCGTAAATAAACGTTAATTTGTATGCGCACTTACGCAGCGGATACATAATAAGGTTATATGGCACGCCACAATCATTCATTCGTCATTCATGCATCACATTCTTTTATTATTACTAAGCAGTATACAACATATAAATTACGAAATAACTCATGATTTACTTTATTTGTTTCGGTTATTTTGTATTTTTTTATTCTCCTGATATGTATGTGAAGTTCGTGCGTTCAAAAGAACAAAATGCTTTACTTGCGATATTTTTTAGCGCTAAATTCCACCTAATTAAATAATAAGGCACCGATTAGTAAAATGCAACGATGTTCGATAAATATTTACGTAGTACAATTTGCATCAGTTGATGAAGAAGTCCAGTTTTCGGCAAGTTTGCGTGAATAAACATTCATTTCGTATTTGCACTTTTATAGCGATTACATAAGAAAATCGAAAATTCATACAATCGTACATGACTTTCTTATATTGTTCTAAAGCAATCCACACCTAATGCTTTCTTCAAGGACAGTAATAATGAACTTTATTTCTTGTAAAATGTTCCTTACCGAGGCAGATGTGTGCGCAACTTTCAATTTTACTGTCGTATATTTAAGACCAATTCACCAAGACGTAGTGTATGAGTGTATGAGCAAATTTTTTTGGATTTCGGAATATTCTATTTCCCTTACTTCTCTCTTGCTACACAGTTTATTATACAATTCGCAACTTCGCACAAAAATGGCGAATGAGTATTTAGATATTTCTTCACAGAAATAGAGCTGCTGGGGATAAAACGGGGGGAAATACATTGTTGACTGACTGACTGAATGACTGACTGACTGTTGAAGAAGCAATAGTGGCGCGTCTTTTCATCTCGTGAACAAACAGCACAATATCGATTACAAACTGGTGATAAAGGAATATCCATTCATGCTTTTACACGCTCAACTAAATATTTTCAAAAATTTCATGATGTTATGAGAGTAAAGTCGAGAATTAAGTATGTTTTAACGGTCAACATGCGAATAATTTTATTCCAAAAATTTGGTCACTTGTCTGCTTTAATTCCTTTGCGATTTCTTTACACGCAATTTAGCCTTTTGTATTTTAAAGCCTGGCGAACTTACATCAAACACACAGGAGTAGTTTGACCATAACCATAAGTCAATGAGTTTGTCAATGACTTAAATTTGTCTAACATGTACTCGCTCATCAATTCATTTGTAGCAGTGGCCTATATTTTGATGTTTGGACATGAGTTATTCGTTCTTTAATTGGTTATTTGCGAGCATCTAGCTAACATTCTGCGCAAACGGTGAGTTTTTTGCCTCTCGTGGCCAAAAGTATCAAACATGATTGATATGCGAAAAAAGGTTGCATGAGCCTTAAAACTCAGTAAATTTCCTCCGCACACAGCGAGCGAACTCATCCCACTTTAAAAGAAATTCTATTGTATGTTTACATGAATCCGGAATGAGTCACAACTCGATCCGGATCGAGTTCATTCCTATTTTCATTCCGGATCGAAAATTCATTCCGGATCGAAATTTACTTTTAATCTCATGTAAACGCGAATTGAGTTTCATTCTAGAATGATATTGTGATTAATGACGAAGCACGCATGTGCCATGGGTATTGTCTTCTGGCAAATTGAAGCTCGTAAGCAAATAAAGAGGCTAAATGGGTTAAAATGAGTGCGAAGAAAAACAACAATTAGTTTCATGCAAGTGTTAAGCTGTATTAACGCAGGAACAACAGACAAAAAAGGGTTGCTATAATGTTTATGTTCTCCATCTTCAAATTTCAAAATTCCCGCAAAATGTCAATCCTTGTGTTGATTTCCCAAGTAAACACGGAATGACATCACGTTTCGATCGGGACTTAAAGTCATTCCGGATTCATGTAAACACCCCCTTAAACGCAATTCCTGCCATGGCGGATCCAGCTATAGGCAAAATAAATTACTTCAAAACATTGATTGAATGATTTTTATTCTTTAGAAATTCATAACCAATGCCTTTGTTATAAAGGTACTTTAAATTTAAAATTAGCAGTTATAATATATTTGCCTAACCTTGGATCCACTACTGTAAAAACTCCCGCATTCGGCTGGTTTGATAAAGTAAAGAGTATCTAAAAACTTGTCAAACATTTTAAATATTAAAAGTATGCATTCAATATGAGCTGGATCCATGGCTGGTTCGGCCTCTGATTTCTGGTCAGTGCGAGCGAATTATAGTAAATTATTAAAAAACTATTTGAATATAAAATGTGCTCATTAAAAGAAAGCTTTTGTCGAGCAAATGAGAATACGCAAATCTAAAAAAAATTATGTTAGCTGAATTGATATGTTAGACATTGGCCGTATACTCTGTCAATAATACCTGTTCGGGAGCGCTGTTCTTTTGTGGATTCTTAACTGCGTACTCTGTGGCTGGCGTGATTTTAAATTTTGTTGTTTTAATCAGCACATATAAGTCATCACAATTTTGAAAGAAAAAGTGCTATTTCACGGTTACCACATTAGCTGTTGCCGACGTCCTTGTTGTCGTTGTCATTCATCCTTTAATCATCTGGGTCACTTACTCTGTTTTTAATGAAGATCTAAAAATATTGGAACGATCTGTCTTTATCCGTGTATTCTTCGCAACAAAAGACTTTTTGATGTTATTGCTAAAAATATTCAACATACAACGATTCCTGGCAATTCGATCTCCCTTCTCTTATCAACAGCATATCATTGTCACGGAAGTGTTTGGTTTGGGGCTATGTTTCTTATGTTTTGTCATTCTAATGGAAGATGTAGTTTGGTTTGGTTTAGTAAAACGCTTAGAATACGTTACTCTTCCTTTGCTCTCCGTCACCTTTTTTTACATAAATTTAGAAACGTATCGACGCTCAAGTTGGAGAAGTATTTCAACAAAGAAAGCAAAGAAAAGTGTGCGGAATCAGAAGACGCCATTTAGCGTCTTCTGATGAATCATTCTGAGCACGCTAAATGGCGGATCCAGAAATTGCTTTTTTTAATTATTTGCACGTCTGCATGCCCCTGCGCCTTGTCTGTTTACAGAACAATGCATGCACAAAAGATGATCTTACACAATACATTTATCGTTCATATTTACATGTGGGCCAACACCGTTATGGCAATGAATTCGTCGTTCAACTGTCTGATATTTTTTTGAAGCAATTGAAAATTACGAGGAGTTCCAGAGAGCTTTGTACCGAAACTATTCCGTCGAGAACGAATATGCGTTTGATTATTATGTGATTATGACTGAACATATATAAAGACGAGGTGATAGTAAGACGCATTTCTATTCTTCACTTGCAATTCAGCCATGTTGGTAGTCTGATACAAAAGAATTTTTTAAAAATATGAGAGTTATTGTTGGCACCAGCCGGCGTGGGCGAGCAACATTGTTTCGCAAATCTCTGGAGAACGGTTGCAAGTCAAGAATGAGCTGCTATATTTGTTTTGTGTCATAGTCAGCATATTTTTTTGTGTTTGTGTTTTTTACCTACTGCAAAAACAATATATTTCTAAAAAAATGAACGAAACGAATGTGCTTAATCTCATTTACGTAAGAGTCCTAAAACCTGCTGGCTTGTTGCAACTGAATTTTATGCCTTGCGCACAAGAGCTCTATCAGCAGTGCTATGAGTCACTTGTGAGTAGCGTACACCACTTACAAAGGTGTGCGATTTTCCGATGTCATTGTCTGTGATTTTGGCACGCGTGCCGTTGGCGACAAACATAGTTAAACATGTTGAATATTTTTTACCACAAGTGAATGATTTTGCACCTTGTGTGCGTGTTGTGAGTTATCAGAACATGCGTAATTCCTTATTTCATATTCATACTCATTCAATTCTCCAGAAGAAATTTGCAGAAGGCGTTCACAGTTTATCTTTATCTGATAATGAAGAGACATTCTTCTTCATACTTATGTTATGAAGAAGACAAAGGCGTTTAAGGGATCTTATGCTGTTTCTGGTTCTTGTGATTTTCAGCTTCTTTCAGGTAGTTCATATGACGCTTCCGTAAATTCAGCTTCATTTCAGAGTGTCTGTCATTGTAATGAGCATCGAGAAGAAACTCTGCACATAATCTGGAAAATAACCTTTAAGAGTTTTAAATAGTAAGCAAATTTTTAATTTTTTCCCCTAAGTATATCTTTTTTTTTAAAAAAAAGTTGACTAACGCATTCACATTTGTATCATAACAAGGTCTCATTATAACTCGATTTGCTCGACTCTGCAGTTTTTGTAATTTTGTGCTTAGCATTTTACTAAGCCCGTCTCAAACCGAGCAGCAGTGTGCTACAGCAGAGGCGCAATACAATTATTTACGATAAGAATGTAAATTTCAATATTATTTTAACTTTTTGTCATCATCCAATGGATGTTTACAAGTTGCAACATAGAATGTGTGTTTAAACGTTAGAACTTGTAGCTATTCGTACTAAAGCCGTTTTCTTTGCTTCAGAGCCTTACAAAATACAACGATATCCCACATCCGTTTTAGTTTCACTATGGAAATTCAACATTTCACTTCAAACTCTCTATATGTTAGCTTTACTGTGGAAATTCAACATTTCACTCCAAACTCTATATGTGTTAGCTTTACTGTGGAAATTCAACATTTCACTCCAAACCCTATATATGTTAGTTTTTTATGGATATTCAACATTTCACTCCAAACTCTATATATGCTAGTTTTATTATGGATATTCAACATTTCACTCCAAACTCTCTATATGTTAGTTTTACTGTGGAAATTCAACATTTCACTCCAAGCTCTGTATGTGTTTAATGTGATACTTAAAAAATTGTTAAAAAACCTTCCAGAGCTTTTGAATTTCACAACATTTTATCCTATTCAAGAAATATATTTGGTAATAAAAGTAAGGGTTAGAACCAGTGATAGTCGGCAAGATTTAGCAATTCATTGTTACTGTAGTGATTGTGCACTGAACACAAAAAATTCTCATAGCAGGACCAAAGTCGCACGCGGCTACGCCACTGGTTAGAACATGATCACGTGTGTTCTATAGAAATTAGAATCCCAAGCATTACATAAAAATTCACGGGAGTATATATAGCTCAAGTGAGTTTTTATTTATGCGAAGGACTTTAAGGGTGTAGATAAAAAGCGGACGCGGACGAAGGACGCGGACGGCGGACGCAAAACGCGTAAATAAAATGCTTTTAGTCCGTTCGTAAAATACTCTTATTCTACATCGAAAAATAAACATTGAAAAAGCTAAAATAAAAACGAAACTAAATGATGCTTTTAAGAGACATAGGTATAGGCAAACAGTGGAAACAGTTTCGTGCAGCTCTGTTTTTAATGATTGTACGAACGTCTGTTTGTACGAGCTTTATCTTTCAGGATATATTTTTTGACCTCATGCTGGCAGGCTGCACAAGAAGTAAACAATCCCATTTTGCGGCAACACTTGTGCATGTGCCTTATCGTATTAAACTTAGATTGAAGAATGAGCATGAGATATACCTTCGGGAAGTCGGCATAATTTTCTAGACAAGAGAATCTATTTTGGTGTTGTCATATAGTTTAGTTATTAACAAAAATTATTTATTATTCTGCTGATCTCTTTTTTTTAAGTTTGACTTAAATGCAGTGCGAATGAAAAGTTCATAGAAAAGTTTTGGGTCCTATTCATTTCTGCATAATTAAGTCTTTCAAAATTTAGCTGTAAATATCATCGTACAATCATTAAGAACAGAGCTGCACGAAACTGTTTCCACTGTTTGCCTATACCTATGTCTCTTAAATCCATCATTTAGTTTCGTTTTTATTTTAGCTTTTTCAGTGTTTATTTTTCGACGTAGAATAAGAGTATTTTACGAACGGACTAAAAGCATTTTATTTGCGCGTTTTGCGTCCGTCCGCGTCCGCGTCCGCGTCCGCTTTTTATCTACACCCAACTATACACTAGACCAGAAAGTGCGTTTGAAAAAGATGAAAAATTTAGTTTATTAATGATATAGTGTGTTCAATAAATAATAAAAAACTATCAATGTTCCGTAAAGTGACAATAAATGAAACGAACCATTAATTTAAAGTTTCAAAAGAACATTACAAATCGCTCAAAAAGGGTTTAATTGCATGAAATAATCATTTATTATCAGCTTTGTTCCACAACAACAATATACATATACATAAACAGTATAGTCATGCAAGGGGTGTATGATATTGAAAATCTTTATCACATTTCAAAACGCTTTTCTTTTTCACATTATTTAGAAAATAGAAACTGCATGCTATTATGACGGTAATTTTGATATACTTCGCACATTATATCATGAATAGATCATCACTGATGTTATAAGTTGAAGATTGGACAAGGTGTGTGAAGTTGGTACATGTTTAACCTTCTGTCTGTTATCGTGCGTGTTCTCTGGTAGTCGATTGGCGGATGTTTCACCAATTTGGTTGTGGTCATCTGTGGCTTACGTAAAGAATATCTATATACTACTGTGAGCTTCATTGGACTACGATCACAAAAATATCGAGAAATATTCCATTTTTTAGAGAAATTTTGATTCAAAGGAAAGAAGTATAATTTAGTCGTGAAGCTTTAATGTGCTTATGACTCGAAACTTTTAATATTTACATATCATTTTCATTCAACAGAACTTTTAAAATGATAGTGTATTACTTCTTTGCAAAGAAAGGAGCTCTGCTATGTTGAAGTAACATTCATTTCATTTGAGCAAATACAACTGCTCTTTCAAATTTTCACTATGCAATGTGACGTTACAAGTTGTGTAAAGCGTACATTACATAAATTACTATGTCTCGAGAATTAACAGCGACATGAATAATTGGCTGTTTTAAAAGTGCACTGTCATTTTTCATAATTATATTCAGTGAAAATATAATCTAAACAGAACAATTTTCGAGTCATTAGGATTAAGCCCTTTTAGATTGCAGCACTGCCGCAGATTACAAACAATCACAAATTTGCCATACATATTCATTTAATGTTGTCATCATTGTAATATTGTCTTGACACTTAGATGTTAAGTTGCGTTAAATGAAATATTGCGTATATTGATCCGAAGAAAAAAAACAAAAAACTTTATGTCTATGCTAATGCTACGGTTCTTACAGTCAAAGATAATGCATTTAGAAACTTAAGTCAACAATTATAATTTAGTTGGCAAGTTGTATAAAGTTCTCCCTATTCTTTTGTATTATTTCTTTTGAATTGAACTCTGGCAGAAATGGCATCTGTAATGGTTTGCATGTTTGCCAAAGTGTTATACTTCATGAGTTGATGAAGTCGGTCAAAATTTTCCTTGGTGTATTCAAACTTGAACGATGAATATGGTTGACTGGGGTCGTCAAATATTGGGAAGTTACCAAAGTCCTTCTCCTCTTTTGTCACACGACGTACCCCTACAATACATGAGATATTGTGAACAAAGAGAATAAAAGGAAAACAGAATAATTTTAAATTCATATCTTCAGCGTACATATGCTTTTACCTGGTTTGCTGAACTCTCTAAATGTCTTGTTTACGATTGGAAAATGTAAAATAACTGGACACTTTGAATTGGAAGCATCTTGAAATACATAACATTCTTGAATCTCAGGTTTATCCAGCAATGTGTTTCCTTCTATAGGAGGAAACAGCAACCCACTTTCCTTCGCCCACTTTTCTGCTTTCAGAAGTTCCTACAAAGATATGGTGAGCATGACTTTGAGCTGATTTTTCAAGATCTCTTCTTTACACAATGTCCTCGAAAAAAGTGACACTGTATAGAATCATTTTATTGTTCCTGAACCCTTTTCAAACGCGAGTTATTACGAACAAGAGAACTTAAATAAAGAAATATTGACATAGGCGTACAGGACGGTGAAGCAGGTGGAGCAGCCCCCACAAGAAAGTTTATACATTGAAGAGTTGGGCAAATTTTTCACGTTAGTCGGGTGAAACTTCAGCACAACCTTATTTGTGAGCTGGGAAAATATTTACTGCCCCCCAAAAATTATAGCTCCCGTACGCCTGTAAATATTGATACAGGCACGTTGAGTAGTATGATTAGGAGGACACAAAGCCTGTTTCTCTTGGCAGACTTTTCAGTTTTACGAGTTGTTACATATACATGCATGTAGCTGTTATAAAATTTTTCAACTTATATAGAGCTCAAATATGCGCAAATAAAAGCGATCTGAAGTTATTAATTTACAATGCTTCGATGCATTATGTATCACATTCAAGAAATAAAATAATAGTTAAGACGCATCAATGTATTAAATCAAAGTCCGTCATACCAAGATATTTGAGTTATCTTTGTGTCATGTCTAATGTTTTTTGATCTTTATATTATTGGTCTATTGCTACGACCAGTATTTCGAAGTAAGAAACTGATAAGTATGGTGAGAATCCAAGAACTAAAACCGTCTCATATAACTCAACAATGTGTTGTGGGCTGTGTAGTCATCTGTATGATACAGATACATGCGAACATTTGCACCAGTGCATTGATGAACACAAAAACACGATAATTGGCAAACACACGAGAAAATTACACTATGAAATTCAGATCAAGATGAAAAAAGTTTTTCAATTTATAAAAAATGCCGTAGAAGCTTAGAATGAAATTACGAATGCCTGCTCTACAATGTGTTTGTTTATTCAATTAGCATTGAATTTATCATTGTTTTTCAGTTGTTTTTTATTAGTTTGTAGATATTTTAGCTGTAGACATTCTAGCATAGCAGTGTTATTATTTTCAATTCACTATTTTTTCTAGAGCTCGGCTCTACTAAGTTTATTACAAATTGGACTTTGATTGAATAAGTAAATGCATTCTAAGTATATGAATTAATGGTTCCAACTACTGTTTTATTACTTCAAAATGTTGCAAGAAGCATCGAAACGTTGTAAATTAATAAATTCTCGATCGCTTTTATTTGTCCTACAAATTGTTTAAAAAAATATTTATAGAGTCAAAAAAAAGTCCATTGTTTTTGACAAATTATAGACAAACATTCTATAATTAGCGCTTTGGGCATGAAGCAGCCGTATTTTAGATAGTTTTATGAGGTTATTCCTTCAGCGTATATCGACATGAAACTTTTGTGCGAAAGTGAGAGCGCTAAGTGTTGGATTTGTTACTGTAGATGATTCATTAAATTTGCAACTCACAGAAAATGGTTTTTCTTTATCTCCGCCGTCTCGTTGAGAAAAATCAAACGACAAAATTATTTCAACTTTTCGCTCAGGTCGTAGCAAAACTGGATATGGAGAGTTAAAGGCAATACCAGCGTCGACGAGGCAAATCGTCTTTTGATATCCCGTCACTTTGTTATAAGTATCATCTGGCAAATGATATAATCAATATCAACAACTGATACATATTGTGAAAATTAAGCAAATGTTTGCATAAGTAACTCTATACATGACAAAATTATTTGCAAACAGTTATCATTACTTTGCTCTTTTTTGAATTCCAATCCCCGTAAAGCATTAAAAACCACTGCAGCTTTTCCTCGACGACTAGACATCACGTTAAATGGGTTTAGGGCTTCCAATAACCACCACTTATTACCTTCAGAAATGAACATGGAAGACGTTTGATGTCATGTGCACAAAGCATCTTTCACAAAAAACAGTTTAAACACCATTTTAATGGAATCATGTACGACTTATAGGATATAATAGAGTATGTAAAGAAATAAAAAACAGAATCAAGAACGCAAAACCTTGATTTATAGCTTTTGACCTAATTTTGGTATTTCATCATACGTACGCAGTGTTGATTTTTGCTCATTTGAATAAATGAAATTTGAAGACGTACTTTCGTATATATCTTCAGGTGACTTCAGCCCATCTTCGCTTTTATTTTCTTTTTCGTCTTCGTCATCATCCTCATCGCTGTCGTCAGCTTCAGTTTTGCATTTTTTTGCTTCCTTCAAAGCATGCTTGGCTATGAAAGAGAAATGAAAAGCAATAAAAATATCGGAAACACTTAAGAGAGATAGCACGTATTCTAACACTTACCCATTTCGCTTTGAATTTCGCGATCTGTTCTGTCGTCTTTATTAGTTAATGTGTTTAAAATTATGCTGAATGCACTTCCCCAAATAGCTGGAAATGAAATATCAAGATGGTTTTCCATAAGATCATTCTAAGGTTTTCAGCATTTGGTGAAATCATCGGATTGATCTTTGCTATGTAAAATTGTATTTGACTTGCCTAAAATTTACTTTGGGTTCTTTAAAGATCTCTGCGAGAAAATTAGTTTGTAGCAACCATCACCCCTTCCCACACCGCACCGTTTAATCTCTTGTAGCCTTATCTACCTTGTAAATATGACAGTTGTGGCTCTTTATATTTCTTTACAAGTCGTCCTTTGTAGAATTTCCCGCCAAAATCTTTTGTCTTTCCGAACACACCATATTTGGCAAAACCGTACTCATACGGTGTGAATTCAACCCATTCTAGACAGAAAAATAACACTATTAAAAACTTTATTTGTTTTTTTGTATGACCGCTGTGAGTGGAATTTAAAAATAAATGTGTTTATAATACCAATTAGTATTGACATTTGCAAACAGTGAAGTCCGCTGAACTACCTATGTATGGAAGGCAACCTTCTTAGCTATGTTTTCCACTTATAAATAGTTCAGTAGTCAGGTCATATTTAAAAATGATTATAGTTACTAAATAAGATACGCTGAATGAAAATATTACCACTGAATTCTTTTGCTGGCTCATCCAGGCGAACGTGGACAGCGGCCGTGATAGGCAACGGAGCATGCGCATCTTTAACTCGATTGCATTGGTCGCTTAGTTTAGCGTCAGCGTTCTGTAATAAGGATCATGCTTATCGAATAATTACAAACGTGTGACAAAGATGGTGTCAGATATGGCTGAAATATCAGAAACTATCCGATTGGAACGCAAATCAGTTCTAATTAAGTCTCTGCAAACGTTCGTCAAGAAGGTATAAGAATGTATTATGTGCGTATCTTTAAAATAATCATTTGTCCACTGTAGAAAGGGTTTTTTAAAGACTATACATAGTCTTTAGTTACTGTAAATAGAGTGAAAGTTAGATGTATAGAATGATAAGCTATTGTAAATTGTACTCGGCCTTAAAACATTTTAAGAATGTGAAATGAAGAATGTTTGAGTTCATTTCCTGTTGAGTCACCTGAATTTTTCAGGTTCATGAGACAATTGCTTAAATTGTCCAGCAAAGTGCGAAGATCATATCTTCATTTAATTCCATTTAACTTAAAACATTTTATTCGTTTTTTCTATTGATTGAAATGTTGCAAAACAGCATGAAGAATAAGACCAATTTTGAAGTCTGAAATGAACAATTCCGTTAAATTTGTTTACTCATCTGATTTTTTCAAGAGACGAAAACGTATGTTGCAAATATCAACAAAACCGAGTTCTTACATCAAGTAAGCTTTCCCCAATAAAATATCCAAATAGGTCCACAAATTTGGTGATTTTTCCCCGCCGTTCTTTTGCTCTCAAGCGCGAAATAAAATTCAAACGAAGATGTTCCCATGGACTTGTGTTAAATCTTTCTCGCAATTCATCGGCCATGTTATTGCAAGTGATGCCTGTTGGCCAGGCGGGCTTGTGATACAGAGTGGATAAGTACCTTAAATATTAACAACATGGTTACGGTTTAAAACAAATAAACGAATATCAAATTATTTTTTCACAAATCGGCAGCGGCAGATTGCTAGCCTTTCCCACAATCTGATTGGCTATATAGCAGGAGGCAGAATACTGTCTCTGACTCTGGAGTCCTAGAGCAGCGGGTGGAATTTTACGATATTTTACCATATAGTTTTGTTTTGTTTTGTTTGAATTAACAGACAATTTTTGACTGTGACATTTTTAGTTTTCTACATCAAAATGAGCAGTAAAAATTTGATTGTTTTTTCGACGCTTCTGTTGAAAATGACTGAAAATTTAATCAGAATGATGGTCTCAAAAACTTGTTTAGAGACCTCGAGAAAATATTTTTCCATCCGAATATCAGACTCGGTAAATAACATATATTTCATTCATCATTTTACTATTGCAATGTGTCTGAGATCATATTAAAGACACTTCATTAACCTAGCTATAAAAATTATAGTTACATACCATGATGAGCCAGAGAGCCCAGCTACATAGGTAGCACAATCCAGAATACGCGATTCTTGAAGTGCACTAAATACTCCTGATAGTCCACATGCTGCCCTGTAGCCACCTCCTGATCCCATTATTGCAACCACAGGTACCTGAAATTGAGGTATACGGAAAACAAAGACTCTGTGTTCATTTACAAAAATAACATTGTCTCAATATAAAGCAAATAGAAGACCTCATTTTCTGTTTTTGGACCGTATTTGTCTCGAAGAACTTCGACCATGTGTTGCAGTATTAACTTATTCCTCTTTTTGAGAAATTCTTTTTCTTCCTCACATAAATCATAACTCAGTCTTAGTTCTTCTTTCACACTAAAAAGATCAGCCAGTCGAGTTTGTTGGATGCTTATAAATGTCAGAAATTGAACGTCATTCTCTTACTCAGTTTTGATATTCAACTTTAGTTCAAGACTTGTTTTCTATAAACAAGCACAAATATTTTTTATAGTTCTTCATTCATACCTAGTCATTTAAAGGTTACTTTTGCTTTTGAAATTTTATTTATTTTCATTAAATTTGGTATAACTCGACACAATTTTCTCCGGAATGATGATAATGATCAGGTAATAAATGATGTTAAAAGAAAAATATGATTTTCAAAACTAATGTTTGTCATTTTTTCCCACCTCGTTGATTCTTACAGTTCTTGAAATTTCTTGATTCACAGGGAGTTTATTCAGCTCAATGGTTCTAGAACCAATAAAATCGTCGGAGAGAAAGTCGTCTTCGTTTATTGTAATTTCTGAAAACAATTCATCAACGTCAAATAAACTCAATGCAAATCGCTTTTAAATAATGGCTGGGAACGTAAATCTCGTTGTCGAAAATGTAGTTATGCGCCAACGATTAGATTCAGGTATCATCAATTTGCATTAATTCTCAGAAAAATGGGTGTGCAATGTAAGGCTTACAAAACCCACCTAAAATCCAGGGGGCGGATTTGGGGGTGTATGAACAGGGTGACTAGTCACCTCTCTTTCTTTAGTCAAAATTCTTAAATTCTTGTTAAGAGCATAAGAAAATTCTAGTTAAGAGCACGTCTGCGAGTGCAAGTATGTTACACATGAACACGTGAATTTACTCATGCAAAAACATGGCGGCATGAAAATGTAAACAAGGCAATTTTTATTAGGTGATAACCATAAATTGATGAAGCAATAAACATAGACAGTTGCGTATCCAGTCTACAGGTTTTAATCCTGCTACGTAAGATTTCAAAAGAATCAAAATATCCTAATTCATTTCTTTAGAAATCTTTTGTTTTTACGATGATTGAACTTAGAATCGAGTAAGGGGCCTGGTTAGGTTAGTGTAGATAGAACACATTGTACAGTTTTGTTAAGGGAGCTTTCAAAGATGTTCAAGAGGAAAAAACTCAAATGAACAATCAAGTTAGTAAACCTACAATTTTTTTTCAAAAGCGCAAAATGTAACAAAAATGATTTTCAAATCATTTTGAAGAGGTAAGTGTTGTCTCAGACCTCTACAAATGAAATCGTCTAGTATCTCCTTTGTCTTCTCCCTTGTAGATATTCTGCATCCTCTCCTTAAGTCTTTCAATCGCCTTTCCACAAACTATACTTCCGTATAAAACAAAATATTGCCCATTTTTGTACATTAAAAGCTTGGTACATACCCAGTTTGTTTTCTTTATCATTGCTTAAGTAAAACTTGAATGTCTCATTCCAGACAGGAGTTTTGGTGTTCGACTTTGTTTTAGTTCTTTGCTTCATGTTGGGACTAGTTCGAACTCTTAAGACCACATACGGATCTGGTGTATCAACTACATGAAAAAATTCAAATTATAAATTTATTTTTGCTCACACTCATAGTTAAATGCACGTTGAACTGATTAGGTGTATTCAGTGGTTCCCAATTTCGGGTAGAAAAAATCTCAGTGAAAAAGTAACTGATGTGAAGTTCATGCTCTGTTAAGTTTTTGTATTTCGATGTAAAAACACGACCGCTCTGACGCTGTGTATGAACACAAAGCAAATGATAAAAGTTAGAAAATGTCGTCGAGTACTTTAAAAATAATCTTTTATTTAGGGTTGTAACAAAAAGCAAGAACAAACGTCACTGTGATTTACATTTTGAAGAGATGTTGAATATTTTTAAACTTTTGTCTTGGCTTATGGCGAGGTCTTATTTTCATGTAAAAGAAAATGTATATTGTTAGAAAGATTGATTATTTAATGATTCAGTACTTTAGAGACCATACCAGAAGTTCATTAAACATGCAAGTAATCAGTAGTAGTGGAAGAAAAATGCATTTCAGTCATGACGTTCAAAATACATAGAGAAAAGGTTATATTTCTTATTTTTACTCTGCCTCTACGAGTTTGTACACGAACGATTATAAAATGTGCAATCGTGTGCATCGAAAAGACACAAAGTAAGACTCCCAACTGTTTTAATGCCGAACATAGAACATGAGATTTTTACAAGACTGAAAATTGACGGACTGCCCAACCAAATATAGCATCTGCTATTCAGCTAATCAGCATCTGCTAATTTGCAAACCAGCAAATGTGCAAATTTGCATTGGCTATTTTGGCTTCAATATGCGCTTTACAAAAATTTTAACCCGGATATATTTTAGGTATTGCACCTATACTTAGGCTGCGTTCACACTATACCTGACTCGCTCATCACGACACCTTTATTCAGGGGCGTAACTAGACTCGAAGTGGTTGGGGGCGGGGGAGGGGGGTTGGGTGTAGAAAATTTGCTCAGTAAAAGGGCGTTGCCCACAAAAGCCCCTTAAATCATTATGGCTAGCAAATTATAATCATTTCTATTATTGCATGCGTGGTTTATTAGTAAACCTTGTTGAAGACTAGGTTCTCTGTACTGTCAGGATTTGGTCTTTCTCATGATAAACTTCATGAACGTAACTGCAAAAAAACTCAAACTTGACCATTTTCTTACAGAGCGAGGTTGCTTTGGTTCTGGTTAATGAGTTGTTGTCAATTTTTGCTATGTCCGCTAAGGCATTTCGTATGGCTTTAAAAGATCTCCATACCGCTTCAATTGATTCACTTCTATACAACCATCTCGTCTTTGAGAGATTGCGCAATTTAAGAGCATTTTCAATTTTTTCCATATGTTCTTGCAACATAGAATCTCGTTTACAACTTCTGCTGAAAAAAACATACAGATCTTCGAGCAAGCTATACATCTCAACAAATGTAGAGGCCTTAGAGCAAGATAGTGTTTGATCTAAAAACATAAAATTGAAAAATTATTCAACGCAGAGACTAGTCTTAAAAATACTTAAAAAGATATAGTTAATGCCTAAGTAATTTGTACGGTAATGTTTAATACTGTGCATTTGACACATACCTATGACCTTGACATGGGATGTATGGAATGTTGCGTCCAACCACTTCCTGAAAATGTTGTTGAACTCTATTAAAAGTCCCAGGAATTGAAGCTGTGTAGTCGTAAGACTGATACACTAACCCATCGTGACAAATAGTAATCGTGATGGGAATCAAGAATCTCTTTTTCTTGGCCTTCACCTGTTTTATTCATTGTTTCTTTCATCTCTAATATTCTCTCGTTTGGCATGTTCTTTTCATCAACGTAGCGCACTGCCACTACGAGGCGGTCCGCAATTGAAGTGTCAGGAGACGTGTCGACCAAGACTGAGTGCATTTCAGATGAAACGATATCTTTTACGATGCGATTCCTTCCATCTTCAGTCAAAAGGCTAATAAATTCATTTTGTGAAATAGGCCATAGGTATTTTACTGAATAAGGTTTCATGTTCTTGTCTGAAGTCTAGGGTTATGCCTGGCAACAAGATTTGTAATTTGGATAAAGTTTCCCTCGTGCTTTTCATCAGCTTTTCTGAAAGCTAGCTGTTGTCGTGCCAATGTTCTTGCGAAAAGGATATGTCGAAAAGGATCTTTATAGCTTCTTGGTTTCGCAAATTGTTTTCTTCTTGTATTCTTACTTCTCTCTAACTTCTTTTCCAACATTACATCGACGTTTTTCATATTGCAGGAAAAATGTGCCAAATCCCTCAAAGCAATTTTGTGGGATTGGGAAGAGAAATGCTGTTGCATCTTTCCTTTTTCATCTTCACCCATGCTTCTCATCTTATCCCATAATCGAGCTCCAGTAACCTAGGCATCTGATGCTTTCTTCTTCCTGGTCCACTTGGGAAAAGAGCACAAACAAAACAGGATGCATAGTCCGCCTTTATACTGTACTCTAAATGGGGATATTCTTTGCACCAAACTGATGAAAACATACGTTATTTGTGTTGCGCAATTTTGCTGTTCTCAGGGTAACTATTGAGCTTTGGTTGGTATGGGCCATTCTCAATTATATTTTCTTCCGAAGATCAGTAAACAGTTTTGGACAGTCGCCGGGATCAAGCAACAGCCCAAGATCATTTTCTTCTTCCAAAACACAAATATTAGGATACATTGCCTGAAGATTGCTTTGGCATAAAACCCCAACTCCCCAAGTAGCAACAATTTAAGAAATGTAATTTATTAAATTATGTATACATAAATTAGACAAATTTTTGCTGTCGCTACTCGAAGTTTCATGCAGTAGAGCGATCTTCAGGCAACTGACAGATTATTTGTTATTCACTTTATATACAATTCGTTACGAGGTGTTAAGTTGTTTGATGAAGTCCCTCTTGATGCTGTAGTTTCGTTTATGTGCAAATGTGCTATTACAGTTTTACAAATCAGGAGAGTTTTTGAATGTAACCTTTTGTGATATATCAGTATCATGGCAGAATAATTTGTTTCGCACTTTTAACTTCTCCTTCACGCATTTCATCAATGCTATCACATGTAACAGGGGCAGTTGGAAGGATCTAAAATAAATAAGAATACATCGAAACTTTATTGTATGTGTGGCGTTCACAATAACAGAGATAATTGCTGCTGCAACAGATCAGAATAACAAAGTTTTGTGCAACACGAATTATCAATTATTTCACATCAATTGAATGGCACTTATAAAGAACTAACCAGCAATGTTCTAAGAGATCTATAAAGCATGCTGAAGATTTTCATTTTATTTACCATGTACATATGTAAGTAAGTTCCATTTTACTAACCTTAGAAAAATGAAGCGTTGTATGTGATGCTTCTACAACATCTTGGGATTTTGCCATACCATTGTGTTTATGTGAACTGTGCTTCAAAAATCAGCATTCATTTCAGCACCACAATCTTTACATTTAACCTTTCGTCTATAAATTCGTGTACGTTGAGGTTTTCGTTTTTTTGCGCGGGGCTACTGAACATTATCATCTTTAATTCTAGTTGCGCCTCCCTCATAAGAGAAATTTTAATTAAATTAGAAATGTATCTGAGTAAACATCAAAATTATGACAGTATACAATGAACTCACAACTTTCCTTCGGTAATTGTGGGCCTACAAACTTCGGTAAATATAACTAACCTTCCATTGAAAAGTAGCCTTTCTCGCCCAATATACAAAAACCGCATAGAATTTGATGAAATTATTGGATTGAAGCACGCTTCCCGGCTTTCGACAATGCAAAAATTAACATTAGCATGTTTTTTACATTTGCAATCATTGTATCCAGCGGAATCTGTATCTGTGTTTCAAATTACTTCATCTTACACATCTCACAGACACATTGCACTGTAGAATGAAGCCCAACTTGTCAAAAATGAAGGTTTGTTACTTCTACTTAGTAATCATTCAGTTGTTTTCGATGGTATGGCAATTTTTCTAATTCCTGAACACTGCCCTGCCACTTGACGGCAATATGCCCTGCAAAAACATTGTTTTCAGCAATTGGGGGTTGTCACACCCCCACCCTCTCAACAGTTCGCCCCTGCCTTCATTTGCTTTAAAGAGGTAACTGTACGGAGTGAAAACTTATTAAGTTGATAGATTTAGTCTCCTTGATTGTGTTTCTGACATTGAACACTTTCGCTGCCTTTTAATACAAAGAAAATTTGACCTGCTACGATAGTAATCCGGTATATTGTAAGCGAGGCCTTTGTAGTCTTAAATTATGTCCATAATTAGCAATTTATATTTCTTTTGCTGCGTTAATGGTTTCCATTCTGGGCAAATTGCCAACGTTATGTCGTCAATCCTGCGCAAATTGTCTCAAAATAAGATTGCATTTGCATATATGTACATCGAGCATTTTTGTTCCAGTTAATTGTGCCTGCGCAATTTTAAAGTGTGTTATTGAATGCAATAAGCCGAATTCTGAACAATTTGAACTAAAATGAACCAGCACAGCAATTGCTTATGACGCCGAAATCAAACTTCGCAATTTTGCTTGGCAACGAAATATGCTTTGGATCTTTTGATGTCAGAAAGCAAAACAATCATACTAAAACAACCCAGCATGGGCTACACAAACAAAAGGACAATCATGCTGCGCAGTGAAACGTGATCTTGAATAAGTTATCGTCAAATTTTGTAATGATGAAAAGTTTAAAATCCATTTTGTCCTTCTCAGGACTTTATTAACCTGGACGATCATCATTTACAAACATATGATGAAAAGTTTACTAGAATTTGAGGTTTTCGTGTTCAAGTTACAAAGAACAGAGTTGAAAATTTGTTTCTTTTATTGTATCTACACAGGTAGAGGTAGAGATAAAAGAGATACTTTCAGTAGTTCAGTAATTTTCAAATGAACAGAAATGAACCCTCGACGATAAAGTGTCTGTTTATTGTTTAGTACTTACACGCATCAGCAAATGCACCAGCAGTAACATTTTCGGCCTTCACGACTGTGACCTCCAGTACATTAACTGTCTCACTTATTATCTAAAAGATAAAGTCATAAATGTAAGTTTGGCACAATTTTCCCGTTGCCAAAGCACCTATGAAAATGTGTATTATATTGAGCATGGTTATCTTCAACCAAGTGCTTATAGTTTTCAACTTCAAATGTAAAGGTCGAGCGAAATATGTCGAAATATGTTTTTAATTCAAACAGAAAAGCAGTGTAAAGACGCTTCAGACTCTTTGGTTTCAGTTCGAGTAAAAATCATACGCAAGCAGTGAGCATACCGGGTCATCACGCAAGTAGGGTGGAGCACTTATTCTGGTAAATGATAAATATTATATGTTAAAAGCCCAAGTACTAGTACAATATTTGTAACACTCTAATGCTCACTTTATATTTTTCATAACCTATAAAATCCATTTTGTCCAACCGTCTAAAACAAAATCTATAAAAGAAAAGATAAATTACATGCAAATACGATCAGCGCGACTGATCTGTATTAAATTTATTTTCAATAATTTCAAATGATACTTGAAACTGGTAAAGAAAATGTCCAAAACACATATCTCAATCAATGATGGAATGTACCACTTTAACTGTGTAACATGTCCATTTAGTACTTACCGTTGAAATAAATCACCTTGGTCAGTATATCACCCTCTGTCTGTTCAGCTAAATGCTTCTTCAAATACGCACAGAGACTGACGAGTACCTATTTATGCCCGCATATTAAAAGAAGGGACACGTATTCACAAATAATTACAGCAAAATCCATCCCTGCTGTTTCCTGTGACGTAGGAAATGTAAACACTGTGCAATAAATTGAGATGCAGCGTTGGCCCTTGCAGCGAAATCTTTTTATTGTTGCGAAATCAGACTGAGCGTAGTGATGCAGCAAAGAAAATCTGAAATTGACGAAATTTGTAATTAATACGCAGACAATACTTTCAACAATTCCTGCTCCGGAGATCTGATTTGGTTGAAAGCCAACATACGGAAATTAAGATGCATTTTTTGATTGCTATAGCAACAACATATAAGTTGACATAATTCTGTATCGTGGCCATTATTTGTCATTTTTCAAAGGTTTAATTCTAAATTTTATTTTTATTTTAAATGAAATGTCAGTGCAAAGTTTTTAGCACAAATGTAAAATCACAATTGTGAGAAAGGACGGCACGTATACTACAGGCTTTGGGTAACCATCACCATTCAGTGTATCTTTGCAACATGCAACTGATAGCTATCTTTAAAACAAAGAATGAGGAATCAAGGAAGGGAACGAGGAAAGGAACGGGGAATGCAAAACAAGGAATGGAAAAAGCCGGAATCTTTAAAACAAGGAATGAGAAAAGCCGGAATCTTTAAAATAAGGAATGAGAAAAGCCGGAATCTTTAAAACAAGGAATGAGAAGGGCCGGCATCTTTAAAACAAGAAATGAGAAAAGCCGGAATCTTTAAAACAAGGAATGTGTAATTATGCAAAACCGGGGGCAAGTAGCAAGGCTTCACGTGCCGTCCCTGATTTCGACTGATTGCTACAACACGCGCAACACTTCCAAACTTCCAGCCCGAGTTTGGATCGCCCTGGCGCAACAAGATATGATGATGATGATTATGCAAAACCATGCGTATTCAAAACAAATTCATACGACATCGTTCTAATTCCCAATTTTTCACAAATTTTATTCAAACGGTTAGTTAAGATGCGTTATTTTTAGAAAAGCTTACGAAGAATGGTTCACAAGGCAATTATCACGGAGTTTCATCGAATTGATGATTGCAAGAAAATTGCTTTTATAGCGTATTATGAGCCTCGGCATGTTGCCAACTGATTTAGGGACTTCGAACCAATTGTGTCCTCGTGATCGGTATGTACACAGTAAATAACCGTTTCTTTTGATTTACGACTGACCAGTTTGCCCAAGCCTTTAACTGATTTCGGTCGCTATTTTGTCATTTGTCAACATTACGTCATCACTGTATTTTCATAATAACAAATGTTGCATGGTGTCAAGAGAAATGCATAGCTTTTTATTCCCCAAAGATAATATTGAAACATTAAAGCTTATCTTATTTATGAAATTTAAAGAAATTGTTCAAATTTAGCACATAACTGTTTTTAAAATTCTGTTTATAATAACTCATGCAATTATTGGCAAACATAGCCCTTTATGTAAATTTTGACTTGTGTCACTCTAATAATTATTTTAATACTTGAAAAACGTACATATTGCATTATCTTAAAGCCACAAAAATGCAAAACTTTAATAACTCTGTTGCATTTTTTGCTGAAATTTACATGAGTAATTTAAACTTAATTAACAATGTTTATACGAGTTACGACACACCGTGGAATTTAAATTAAGATGATGCAAAAAGGCAAGCAGAAATCAACTGAAATAGAGCGATACAAATCTCGACTTTTAAGTGGGAAAAACGCAAAAAATGCCATTCAACCGGTTGCTTTTTCCTACGAAACTTATTAAAATACAGTGATGACGCAGAGTTGACAAATGACCAAATAGCGACCGAAATCAGTTCAATGGCTTGGGCACATTAGACAGTCATGAATCGAAAGAAACTATAGTTTACTGTGTACATACCGATCACTTTGTTAACTTTATACGAGAACACACTTGGTTCGAAGTCCCAAATCAGTTGGTAATATGCCCAGACTCATATCTCGTTTTAAAAGCAGTTTTCTTGCAATCATCAATTCGATGAAACTCCGTGGTAATTGTCTTGTGAACCATTCTTTGTAAGCTTTTCTAAAAATAACGCATCTTAACTAGCCGTTTGCATGAAATTTGTGAAAAATTGGGAATTAGAACGATGTCGTAGGAATTTGTTTTGAATATACATGGTTTTGCATTATTACACATTCCTTGTTTTAAAGATTCCGGCTTTTCTCATTCCTTGTTTTAAAGATTCCGGCTTTTCTCATTCCTTGTTTTAAAGATAGCTTGCAAATGATGTAAAGTCTTAGGGACATGTGTGATATCTTTGCAGAGCAGGATCAAATCAGGTTTTTTCTATTTAGCAAATCAAAGGGAAAAATCAAGAGATATAATTTTATCGGCAGTAGATTTGTTTATATCAGCAACTATGTCTTTTTAAAATCTTTATATGCAAAATATCGTAGCGTTATGAATACCATAAAAATTTGAGGGAGATATTAGTTGTCTGCGATTTTTCATTTGACTACTTCGTTCTTGACAAGACATAGATTTGAATAACAAATTTCAAAAAGAAAATGACATCTTCAGAATACAGATTATGATTCAAATAAGACGACAAAATGCTTTTTCACTTTTTTGAATTATCGGTGGAAATGTTTTTGAGAAAACCTAATTTATTTTATGGGTAGTTTCTCGACTAACGATAAAACATCGTGTGTTTCACTCCACTATTTCATCTCCTATTTCACATCTATAAATTTAATGAGCCTGTATATTTACTCAAAGGAGAGCGTAGAAATGAATTTCAGATAATCTGTAAGCCACACTACAAAAGCATTTCCACACAACTATTATAAAAGTCTCCTTAGACCGTTTATACAGTGGATATAAGATCTTCTTAGACCGTTTACACAGTCGATTTAAAAGGTGGATAGATTGAAATAGGCTTCGTAAAATCCGATTCTTCAAGCGTATAAAATTTATACGGTGTATAGCGATTTGAACGGTGGTTGGCGAAGTAAACGCATTTTGTAAAACCGCCCCCAGAAATCTAGTATCGTCAACGCCACTGTCAACGCTAATTTTGAAACCGCTCCCTGTTAAGCAACGCACTTAGAATGGAAAAATATTCAAGTGCTACTTCCGATTACGCACCGCACTTGGGTAACGTGGCAGCTCAGCACTTAATAACAATCCGTTTGCACGTCGTTAACTTTTAAGGAATCTTGATACACAGCAGAACTTGTATTCGTTGACTATATGTCATGCAAACAGTTTTTTCAGGTTTTTGGACAATAAAAATATTTGTTTCGGAAATAAGGTAATTTAACAATCTCGGTTCCATAAGAACTGCTTCCGGTCAACGCACGAACGATCGGAAAAAAAGAATCACAGTGCGTATTTGCGGTATAATGTAATGTAATTTAATGGTATTTACAGAAATAATTACCAATTTCATAATTTCCTCCTTGAATTTTAAAATTTGTTTACTTTTTAAAACTTTTTACTCAAATACTAGATATTATCTTTATACATATAGCCTGACGTCAACAAAAAAAAATAGCAAAACAGATATCATAAGATAAAAGAAATTATAAAAAGTAGAAAATGTAAAAAATCCATCACACTATGTCTTACATTTAAACGTCAAAAAATATTCAGTTCTAGAAGTTTTACTTTTACTTGACTAGTTAAAAAGATGTGATTTTCTTTCCCTTCTTGCGGACTGTATACAGTGACGGTCTAGGGTACATCAAACCGGTCAAGTGAAGTAGGTAAAAGTTTCTGAAATTTGGATGTTCCATGTTTCAAAATCAAAGCGAACGTAGATTATCACTACTTTTGTTCAAAAAACATTTTCGTACAAAATCCGGTGCATATTACGCGTAACTGCGCCACTAAAAGAGCAAGCGTTACTTTGGTGTATTCAGCAGCGAGGTCAGCAGTATCTGTATGAATGTATAACCAGTTGGCGGTCTTCAAAGCTCGAAAATATGGTTTGGATTGGTCAGTTTTCAATTTTGACCGATCTGTGGGTTAGCCTGCAAACTTTCCTTTAATACAATTGGTCAGCAATCGTAATTAAATGTTAATTTCAAGACACAAGAGTTAATTTTTAAAATTGGATAGTTTATCATAATATCGTCTCGTTGTGGAACACCAAATCAAAACCCTAACTTTGTCTTGAAGACGTTAATTTGAAATAGTCGTTTACATCGCGGAGTCAAATACATCGTCGTCATTTTGCTAATAAGATTTTGACTTACCAAGTTGCTAAGCTACGTGAATATGATATTGTCACCATGATAGCAGTCTTTTAATGACACCTTATTTCAACTTTATTCCAAATCCATCATCAAAGAATCAGAACATAAATTTTGATGTCGGAATTCATGCATCATGTCAGAATTTCTTTTTCAGTGTCTAAATGATTTTAGACAATAGCAGACTCTTTGTGAAATACTGGGGGAGGAGGTTGTCATCAAGACATTTGATTTATAGGAAGATGTCGGGGCATGCCTATAGCTATAGGTGTACTTATAAAACTTGATCTTCAGAAATATAATTCCAGGATTCCTACACACAATCCTACACACACAAGGTTTGACGGGTCTGCTGGTACGTATGCAGTACAGAAGTCGAATATTAATCATTAATATTTAGCATCACAGTTATGTTATGTAAGTCAGGAATGATTTAAAGGATTTGTCGCAAGGTTTTTAATCTTTCAAGAGTCTTGGAGGGTGGAGCTCAAGCCCCCCTCGCCCTTCCTCGTGGTTGTCACTAGTTTTCGAATAAAGTTGAATTTTATTTAATTAAAGTCTACGTACATACATTCATAGTACTCATTATGACAACATGAAAGGCGAAATATTTACCAAAATTTTAATCAATCCATCATTGAAAAGACAGAACGAAAAGACATTGTGGTGATTGGGAAAAAGCTTGTCCAGAAAGTCTGATATTAACTTACTAATCCAGATGCATTTATTTACGTAATTTTAAGCCAAATATGTATAATGTTTTGTGTTTTGATTTTCCAGCAATGGTATAT